CTTGAGTTCCGCTTTGGCGGTAGAATTTGTGGGGTCGGGAGCAACCCTTGAGGTCATCTATTCCAGCCCTCGGGAATTGAGTAGGGAAAAGGATGAAGAGGGTGAAGGAGTGTGCCAGTTCTGCTTTTGATTTTTCAAAGGCTCAGATTTGATTCCTTCATTTAAAACTATTTAAAACTATTTAAAACTATTTAAAAGGGACGCGGTGGCTCAGTGGCTACGACCCCTGACGTAAATGACATTTAAGACAAGCTAATGAAGTCACATGTGGGACACGGTGGCTCAGTGGCTAAACGCTGAGGTTGTTGATCAGAAAGTTTGGCAGTTCGGCGGTTCGAGTCCCTGGTGCCGCGTAATGGGGTGAGCTCCCGTTCCTTGTCCCAGCTTCTGCCAACCTAGCAGTTCGAAAGCACTTAAAAAATGCAAGTAGGAAAATAGGGACCACCTTTGGTGGGAAGGGAAGAGCGTTCCGTGCGCCTTTGGCGTTGAGTCATGCCGGCCACATGACCACGGAGACGCCTTCGGACAGCGCTGGCTCTTCGGCTTTGAAACGGAGATGAGCACCACCACCCCCTAGAGTCGGGAACGACTAGCACAGATGTGCGAAGGGAACTTTTACCTTTACCTTTACTCAGGACTCGTTTGGATATTGTAAAATTTGGGACCAAAGGCATGCAAGCCAGCCGTGCATCCGAGGCCCTCAACCGATGAAACAAGAACTGAAGATTGCGCGATATATATATTTGCACACAACAACCCTTTGGGGTAGGGAGGCCGACCGGCAGCCTGTCTCCAATCTCCTAGTAGCTTTGCCCGTCTAAACGGAGGCGCGAAGTTGAGTCTCTCTCCCGTCGCTCAATCTCTTTGCTCGACTCCGTGGCGTCTGTTTCCCTTTCAGCTGCCGGGTTTTCTGTGACGCACAGAAAATCGGAAAAATGACCCATTTCCTCTGGGCCTCGGCTCCAGCCGGCTCACGCTTTGCCCGGGGCAGTTTGTTACCGCATTTTTTTTTCTTTTTAAAAAAACAAACTTTTTCCTATTTGTGTCTAATAATAAAAAAAGGGCTGACAATGAGGATGGGAGGGAATTCAGGCACAAGCCGCTATCAGATTGAGCATGGCACCATCGGCTCATGCCAACCAACCTCGCCGGTTTGCCTTCGCCATGCTGGGTCCGGCCGGGGAGGGGGGCAAGAGAGTGGTGGGTGCCAGGATGTACTCAAATTGAAGTGGTTGGCGGGCAGAAGAACTGGAGGGGGGGCAGATTATGGGCAGAGATGGGGAATGTCCAGATTCTGGGAGGAAAAAAAAACCTCAACGAGTTGCCAAATCAAAACTAGGATTCCTGCTTGGTCAGACGGTGCCAAATTCTGCTTTTCACTGGGTCGTGGAAAAGTCTCGGAGTTGGGGGAGGGAGGGGGGGAAGAATCATGCAATTAGGAAAGGAGGGAAGAGAGAAAGGAGGGAAAGAAAGGAGGAAAAACGGGAGAAAGGGAAGGAGGAAAAGCAAGGGACAGAGGGATAAGATAAAAAAAGAAGAAAGAAAGAGAGGGACGGAGAGAGAGAAAGACAAAGAGAGGGACAGAGAGAACCAAAGAAAGAAGAGAGGGAGAAAAAAGAGAGGGACGCAGAGAAAGAGAGAGAGAGAGAGAGAGAGAAAGAAAGAAAGAAAGAAAGAAAGAAAGAAAGAAAGAGAAAGAAGGGAGGAAGGGAAAGAGAGAGAGAGAGAAAAATAGAGACAGAGATAGGTAGATGGTAGGTAGGTAGGTAGGTAGGTAGATAGATAGATAGATAGATAGATAGATAGATAGATAGATAGATAGATAGACAGACTGACAGATAGATAGATAGATAGATAGGTATGGATGATAGATAGATAGATATAGATAGATAGATAGATATGGATGATAGATATAGATAGATAGATAGATAGATAGATAGATAGATAGATAGATAGATAGAAGAGATGCAAGAGAGAGAGAGAAGATAGATGATAGATAGAAGAGATGCAAGAGAGAGAAGATAGATAGATAGATAGATAGATAGATAGATAGATAGATAGATAGATAGATAGATAGATTCATTCCCAGCTGGCCTCTCCTCCTTCCCCAAGCCTTAAATCCAATTTCATGGAACTAAAATCAGAATGAATTTTAAAAAGCCAAAGGAAATTATTAAAGGGCTGGGAAGCAACGGATAATTTTAATGTATTGATTGATTGCTCCTGAGCGTTCTATAATGTAACAATTGAGTAACTTAATTGTGAGACTCTTACCTTCCTAGGTGAGAAGGGGGAGGAGAAGGAAGGGAAAAGGAAGGAAGGAAGGAAGGAAGAAAAAAGAAGAGAGAAAGAGAGAGAGAGAGAAAGAGGATGGAAGGAGGAAGGAAGGGAAAGGGAAGAAGAAAAAAGAAGACAGAAAGAGAGAGGGGGAGGGAGGGAGGAAGGAAAGGAGGAAGGAAGGAGGAAGGAGGAAGGAGGAAGGAAGGGAAAAGGAAGGGAGAAAGAAAAAAGAGGACAGAAAGAGAGAGAGAGAGAGAAAGAGGATGGAAGGAAGGGAAGGGGAAGGGAGAAAGAAAAAAGAAGAGAGAAAGAGAGAGAGAGAGAAAGAGGATGGAGGGAGGAAGGAAGGGAAAGGGAAGGAAGAAAAAAGAAGACAGAAAGAGAGAGGGGGGAGGGAGGAAGGAAAGAAGGAAGGAAGGAGGAAGGAAGAGAAAGGGAAGGAAGAAAGAAAAAAGAGGACAGAAAGTGAGAGAGAAAAAGGAAGGAAGAAAGGAGGAAGGAAGGGAAAGGGAAGGGAGAAAGGAAAAAGAGGACAGAAAGAGAGAGAGAGAGAGAGAGGAAGGAAGGAAGGAAGGAAGGAAGGAAGGAAGGAGGAAAGAAGGAGGAAGGAAGGGAAAGGGAAGGGAGAAAGGAAAAAGAGGACAAAAAGAGAGAGAGAAAAGGAAGGAAGAAAGGAGGAGGGAAGGGAAAGGGAAGGGAGAAAGAAAAAAGAGGACAGAAAGAGAGAGAGAGAAAGAGGAAGGAAGGAAGGAAGGAAGGAGGAAGGAAGAGAAAGGGAAGGAAGAAAGAAAAAAGAGGACAGAAAGAGAGAGAGAAAAAGGAAGGAAGGAAGGAAGGAGGAAGGAAGGGAAAGGGAAGGAAGAAAAAAGATAGAGAGAGAGAGAAAGGGAGAGGGTGGAACAAAACAAGGAAGGAAGAAAGAAAAAAGAGGACAGAAAGAGGGAGGAAGGAAAGAAGGAAGGAAGGAAGAAGAAAGAAAGAAAGAAAGAAAGAAAGAAAGAAAGAAAGAAAGAAAGAATAAAGCTTAAAGGTAGTTTCCTAACCTCCTTGCTAAAGCGAAAACAGTCCTCATCCGTTCCCCAAAACGGATTTACCAGCCTGCCTGACTCATTCATTCAACTAAACCGAAACACCAGCAAAATTCAGCCTCTTTTAAGAAAACGGGGGCCGTGTTTTATCACTATTATTGTTATTATTTTTAAAGGGGGAAATTGCAAAACTATTTTGGGGGGAGGAGAGAGGGAAGGGATGCTCTACTCCCTCCTCGCAAGCCTCTTTCTACTCCCCCCCCCCTTACAAAGGCCTGTTCTGAAGGCGGCCGACCTCTCCGGATTGATGCTGGATGACGCCAAGATTTCTTTTTTTTTTTTTTCTTTTCTTTTCGGGAGTCCCAGCAGACAACAATGGGATATAAAATCCCTTTGATCCTAGAAGGAGATTAGCTTTCCTCCCAGAAAGTCTCTCTCGCTGCGGCTTTCATCCTGCGGGATGAAATCCAAGGATATTTCCAGAAGGGGGGAAATGCAGAAAACGCCAGAGCAAAAAAACTCAAAAATAGCAAATTGTCTTATGAGCCACACACTCGCGCGCGCGTCACTTTAAAATCAAAATATCCGGGGACAATTTCGCAGCCCAAAAGTGGGAAATTTTCAGCGCTGGGCTGAAAAATCTTTAACAAAAGGAACTTTTTATACAGGGAATCCGGCACCAAAAGTCACAACAGCACCAGAAAAAAAAAAGGGGACTTAAGATCGTTATTCACACTTATGACTGTCGAAGGCTCCCCGTGCTCCAAATTCTGACGCTCGGCAACTGGCTTGTATTTATGACGGGGTTCGTCCCCTTTTTTTGCGACGTTCGGACAAGCAAAGTCAACTGGGAAGTCGGATTCACGTCACGAGCGTGTGACTAACTGAACAACCCCGATGACTCGCGTAGCGACGGTGGGAAGAAAGCTCGTAAAATGGGTGCAAAATTCACGTAACAAGTATTTCATTTAGCGACATAAATGCTGGACTTGGTTTTCAGTCGTAAATCAAGGACTACCTGTATTTCAAGCTTTTCGTCGCTTGGAAAACATCTGGTATTTTTACACCAGTAATCCGGGTGTCATCAGCTCCTGGTTTGCAGGCTGCAATATCCTAGATTCTCATTTTTATTTTTCGGTTCCCAAAGCTCTGGAACTGCCACCAGTTTCTTTTTAAAAGATGTGTTGTTATTTTCAGATATACGGGGGTGACAGCAATAGTCAAAACCCAAATAATCAAAATTAAATAGGTTGTTTTCTCTGCCATCTTTCTTTCTTTCTTTGTTTCTTTCCCTCCTTTTTTTCTTTCTTTCCCTTTTTCTTTCTTTGTCTGTCTGTCTTTCTTTCCTTTCTTTCTTTCCTTCCTTTCTTTATTTCTTTTTTCCCTTTTCTTTCTTTCTGTCTTTCCTTCCTTCCTTTTTTCTTTTCCTTTCTTTCCTTTTCCTTCTTTCCTTCTTTCTTTTTCTTTCTTTCGTTCCCTCTTTTCTTTGTCTTTCTTTCCTTCCTTCCTTCTTTCTTTCTTTCCTTTCTTTCTTTCCTTCCTTTATTTCTTTTTTCCCTCTTTTCTTTCTTTCTGTCTTTCCTTCCTTCCTTTCTTTCTTTCCTTCCTTTATTTCTTTTTTCCCTCTTTTCTTTCTTTCTGTCTTTCCTTCCTTCCTTTTTTTTTCTTTTCCTTTCTTTCCTTTTCCTTCTTTTTCTTTTTCTTTCTCTTTTTCTTTCTTTCTTTCCCTCTTTTCTTTGTCTTTCTTTCCTTCCTTCCTTCCTTTCTTTCTTTTCTTTCTTTCCCTTTCTCTTTCCTTCCTTCTTTCTTTTCTTTTTTCTTTCCTTGATGTTGTTTTTTTTCAATTCCTTGTTTTTAAAAACACTTTGTAAACCTCCCAGAATAGAGGCACTGTATAAATTAATATTAACCATCATTAATAATTATTCTATGTCTATTTATGGTTGCCGAAATGTTATGAAGCTTGCTTAACATTAAGTACACATTGTAAATAACTAAGATTGGTAGAAAAATTTGCCGTTAGTCGATATTAAATAACTATTGGAAATAAGCAAGAATGATGTTGCTCAAAGGTTTTTATTATTAATAACTACTGTAAATAAACTAGAATTAAGAGGTCCAAGTTTCAAAAACACGAAAAATGCATCTTTTGTATTAGCTGCATGGAAGCTAAAGTCACTTCCACCACATGGGAGAACTATTTGCGAACTGAGTTCTACAGCAGGTAGTCCTCGACTTACGACAACAATTGAGGCCAAAATTTCTGTCGCTAAGTGAGAAAGTTTGGATTTTGCCTCCTTTTGTGACCTTTCACGGCACCGTTGTTAAGTGAATCACAGCAGTTATGAAGAGAGTTGCAAGATTGTTAAGTGAATCTGGCTTCCCTCTTGTCAAGTCACAAAAGAGGGATTGTGTGACTCCGGGATACGACGACCGTCATAAATATGAGTCGGCGGCCAAGTGTTTGAATTGACCGTGGGGAGATGCTGCCCGGTCGTAAGTGTGAAAAGGATGATAAGACACTTTTTTTTGATGCTTTTGCAGTTGTGAATGGTCATTAAATGAACTGTCTTGAGTCAAGGACTGCCTATATATCAACATCATTCTCCTTATTCGTGTTGTTTCTGCAGAGTTCTCGTAGCTACGTCATGCCTCCTTTCAACCATAACTCCACCGAAATCCTCCTACCTTACTCCAGCAAGCAACTTTTGAGGTGGGCCAAGGAAACGTACGGTGGGGTCTCTTCCTTCGCGGAGTTGGAAGATCCTCAACGGATTCTGTTCCAAGTAGGGAGAGGTGGGTATTGTTAAAACCTTGCTCAGTAGAGATTTTGCCCCCTTCCCAAATCTTTCATCCATCCATCCTTTCATCCATCCTTTCATCCAATTCATCCATCCATCCATTTCATCTACCCATCCATCCTTCCATCCAATTCATTGATTCATTCATTCATTTCATTCATCTATCCATCCTTCCATCCAATTCATCCATCCATCCATCCTTTCATCCAATTCATCCATCCATCCCATCCATCCAATTCACCCATCCATCCATCCTTTCATCCAATTCATCCATCCATCCATTTCATTCATTCATCCATCCATCCAATTCATCCATCCATCCTTTCATCCAATTCATCCATCCATCCCATCCATCCAATTCATCCATCCATCCATCCTTTCATCCAATTCATCCATCCATCCATTTCATTCATTCATCCACCCATCCATCCAATTCATTCATCCATCCTTTCATCCAATTCATCCATCCATCCCTTTCATTAATTCATCCGTCCATCCCATTCACCCACCCACCCATCCATCCATCCAATTCTTCCATCCATCCTTCCAATTCAATCATCCATCCATCCAATTCATTCATTCATCCTTCCATCCAGCCATTTGTTCCATCCATCCATCCATGCTTCCAATTCATCCATCCATCCATCCAATTCATTCATTCATTCATCCTTCCATCCATCCATTCGTTCCATCCATCCATCCATCCATCCAATTCATCCATCCATCCATTCAATTCATGCATTCATTCATCCTTCCATCCATCCATCCATTCATTCATCAATCCATCCATCCATCCTTCCAATTCATCCATCCATCCATCCATTCATCCTTCCATCCATCCATTCGTTCCATCCATCCATCCATCCATCCATCCATCCACCTAAGGTAGTCCTCGGCTCACAACACAATTGAGCCCAAAATGTACGTTGCTAAGTGAAACATTTATTAAGTGAGTTTTGACCCCATCCTACGACCTTCCTTGCCACAGTTGTTAAGTGAATCACCGCAGTTGTTAAGTGAGTAACCCGATTGTTAAGCGAATCTGGCTTTCCCCCTTGACTTTGCTTACCAGATGGTCGCAAAAGGGGATCGTGTGACGCCAACACACCGCAAACCGCCATAACCATGAGCCCGTTGCCGAGCATCCCAATTTTGATCACCTGACCACAAGGATGCTGGGACGGTTGCTGGGTGGGCGTGGCCATGGTGGGCATGGCCTAGTCAGCCTCCTGCACCACGGTGGGGGCGACAGCGTTTTTGCCCTCCCCGGGCTCCAGAGGCTTTCCTTGAGCCTCCGGGAGAGCGAAAACGGCCTCCCCAGGCTCCGGAGGCCCTCTGGAGGCCGGAAACCTTCCCGAACCTCCGGTAGGCCAGTTTTTCGCCCTCCCCGAGCCTCTGCCCTTGTCAGAGCCCTCCCCAGACTCCAGGACTGGCCCATGTTCCTCCCCCAACCTCCTCACTGTCCGAATCTGCTACCAGCTCTGCTGGCGTGAAGATGGTGGAGAAATCACAACTCTTTGGAAAGGCTCATAATTTCTCTCTTTGTGTCAGCGCCCAGCGCAAACGAAGATTGCCTCTTGGCGCAGAATTTCAACGCCGAGTCGTATCTAGAGGTAGAAGTCCATTCCCACAAGGTGGAGATGTGCCTGGATTCCCACAAAGAATCTGGAAACGTGGGTCACATCCTGTGGCTGCAACAGAGTCCACCGGGCGAGACTAGGTATGATTTGTTGGGAGACGGAGGGAAGGGGTTAGAAGGCCACAAAAATAAGTCCTCCTCCCTTCCCTGAGGTTGGAGCAGAAACAGGCTTCACGCCTATTTAAAAGTTTGCATTTTGGAATCAAGAGAGCCGTGGTGGCACAGTGGTTAGAATGCAGTATTGCTGGCTAATTTTGCCCACTGTCATCAGTTCGATCCTGACTCAGGTTGACTCAGCCTTCTGTCCTTCCGAGGTGGGTAAAATGAGGACCCAGATTGTTGGGGGCAATAGGCTGATTCTGTAAACCGCTTAGAGAGGGCTGTAAAAGCACTGTGAAGCGGTATATAAGTCTAAGGGCTATTGCTGTCTGTCTGTCTATCTATCAATTTAATCTATCTATTTAAACTATCTATCTATCTATCTATCTATCTATCATCTATCTATCTATCGTGGTGGCACAGTGGTTAGAATGCAGTATTGCTGGCTAATTTTGCCCACTGTCATCAGTTCGATCCTGATTCAGGTTGACTCAGCCTTCCATCCTTCCAAGGTGGGTAAAATGAGGACCCAGATTTTTGGGGGCAATAGGCTGATTCTGTAAACCACTTAGAGAGGGCTGTAAAAGCACTGTGAAGCAGTATATAAGACCAAAGGCTACTGCTATCTGTCTGTCTATCAATTTAATCTATCTATTTTATCTATCTATCTATCTATCTATCTATCTATCTATCTATCTATCTATCGTCTATCTATCAATCGTGGTGGCACAGTGGTTAGAATGCAGTATTGCTGGCTAATTTTGTCCACTGTCATCAGTTCGATCCTGACTCAGGTTAACTCAGCCTTCCGTCCTTCCGAGGTGGGTAAAATGAGGACCCAGATTGTTGGGGGCAATGGACTGATTCTGTAAACTGCTTAGAGAGAGCTGTAAAAGCACTGTGAAGTGGTATATAAGTCTAAGGGCTATTGCTATTTGTCTCTATGTCTGTCTATTATCTATCTATCTATCTATCTATCTATCTATCTATCTATCTATCTATCTATCTATCTATCTACCTATCTATCATGGTGGCAGTGGTTAGAATGTCTCTATGTCTGTTTGTCTGTTTTCTCTCTCTCTCTCTCTCTCTCTCCTTCTCTCTCTCTCTCCCTCTCCCTCTCTCTCTCTCCCTCTCTCTCTCTCATCCATCCATCCATCCATTTATATCTAAGAGTCATGGTGGCACAGTGATTAAAATGCAGTATTGCAGGCTAATTCTGCCAACCGTCAGGAGTTCGATCATGACTAGCTCAAGGTTGACTCAGCCTTCCGTCCTTCCGAGGTGGGTAAAATGAGGACCCAGATTGTTGGGGGCAAGAGGCTGACTCTGTAAACCGCTTAGAGAGGTCTATAAAAGCACTGTGAAGCGGTATATAAGTCTTAAGTGCTAGTGCTATTGTGCCATCCATCCATGGTGTACAGTGGTGAGAATGCAGCATTGCAGGCTGACTCTGCCCACTGCCAGGAGTTCGATCCTGACCAGCTCAAGGTTGACTCAGCCTTCCGTCCTTCCGAGGTGGGTAAAATGAGGACCCAGATTGTTGGGGGCAAGAGGCTGACTCTGTAAACCGCTTAGAGAGGGCTGTAAAAGCACCGTAAAGCGGTATATAAATCTAAGCACTATTGCTATCAACCTGGGCTAAAATCAACATTCTCCACAGGGCCAAATTACAGTTCGGTCATTATTGTTGAATAACTGCAATAATTTTATTTATTTTTTTGAACATCAAGACAAAGTTGAGCCTCCCAAAGAAGGACTTAATGTTCAGAAGAAAAGCAATTCTTCGTCTTCACTTTTTTTTCCTTTTTTTTTGCGTGGTTTTGTTTGCAGGATGCAGACGGTGGAAGTGAACGTAAAAACGGTTTGCAAGGACGGCCGTTCGGAGCAGAAAGCGGAGATGCCCTTGACTTTGTGGCTGAAGAGCCACCAAAACATGCTGTGGAAAATGGGCCACGGGTTTTCATTCTTGCAACTCTTGGTAAGAACGGATGCTGGGGAAGAAATCTCTCTCTCTCTTTTTTTTTTGAAGCAACTCAGCGCTTCTTGGAAAATTTATGGGCGAAAAGAAGCACTACAAATTTCCTAAGGGGACGGATTTTCAAAATTAGCCAAAATAAACTTTTAACGGGCTGCCGAGAGAAACGCCAAACTATAAAGACCCTCTACAAATTCTTATTTGTTGATGAGATACAACCAGGGGTGAAATCCAGCAGGTTCTGACAGGTTCTGGAGAACCGGTAGCGGAAATTTTGAGTAGTTTGGAGAACTGGCAAATACCACCTCTGGCTGGCCCCAGAGTGGGGAGGGAATGGGGATTTTGCAATATCTTTCCCCTGGAATGAGGAGGGAATGGGGATTTTGCAGTATCCTTCCCCTGGAGTGGGGTGGGAATGGGGATTTTGCAATATCCTTCCCCTGGAGTGGGTTGGGAATGGGGATTTTGCAGTATCCTTCCCCTGGAGTGGGGAGGGAATGGAGATTTTGCAATATCCTTCCCCTGGAGTGGGGTGGGAATGGGGATTTTGCAATATCCGTGAGTGGGGAGGGAATGGAGATTGTGCAGTATCCTTTCCCTGGATTGGGGTGGGAATGGGGATTTTGCAATATCCTTCCCCAGGAGTGGGGAGGGAATGGAGATTGTGCAGTATCCTTCCCCTGGAGTGGGGTGGGAATGGGGATTTTGCAGTATCCTTCTCCTGGAGTGGGGTGGGAATGGGGATTTTGCAATATCCTTACCCCAGGAGTGGGGTGGGAATGGGGATTTTGCAGTATTCTTCCCCTGGAGTGGGGAGGGAATGGGGATTTTGCAGTATCCTTCCCCTGGAGTGGGGTGGGAATGGGGATTTTGCAGTATCCTTCCCCTGGAGTGGGAAGGGAATGGAGATTTTGCAATATCCTTCCCCTGGAGTGGGGTGGGAATGGGGATTTTGCAATATCCGTGAGTGGGGAGGGAATGGAGATTGTGCAGTATCCTTCCCCTGGATTGGGGTGGGAATGGGGATTTTGCAATATCCTTCCCCCAGGAGTGGGGAGGGAATGGAGATTGTGCAGTATCCTTCCCCTGGATTGGGGTGGGAATGGGGATTTTGCAATATCCTTCCCCAGGAGTGGGGAGGGAATGGAGATTGTGCAGTATCCTTCCCCTGGAGTGGGGTGGGAATGGGGATTTTGCAGTATCCTTCCCCTGGAGTGGGGTGGGAATGGGGATTTTGCAGTATCCTTCCCCTGGAGTGGGGAGGGAAAGGGGATTTTGCAACATCCTTCCCCTGCCACGCCCACCAAGCTACACCACACCCACCAAGCCACGCCCACAGAACCGGTAGTAAAAAAAAAATTGAATTCCACCACTGGATACAACCCTTAGAAAGGAATGTGTGTCTCTAAAAGCGACCCACAAAAAAGGAGTGATCACATTTGAAAGCAAGAGCTCCGACCGGGGTATGTTACAGGGGTCAAAGTGGGATCCCTGGGAAATGTAGACCCCCAAACAGGTTGTGGAATCGCCCCCCTTTTTGTCTTCATTTTTGTAGAAGGAAAAGTTTCCTTGAAAAGAGGAGGGGGTGTTATGTCAGCAATCCCACAGGGATGGAGAATGGCTTAAAAATGAACTTTCACTTTCTTTTTAGAGGCAGTAATTCTTAATTACTGCTTAATTAATTAATTAATTCTAAATTTCTAAGGCTAATTCTAATTGCAGAAAGGTGTTTTAAGCCTTGTTTTTCTTCTCCTCCTCCTTTTTTTCCTTCTGTCTTTCCTTCTGCTTCTTCTCTTCCTCCTCTCTTTCTTTTTCTCCTCCTTCTCTTCCTCCTCTTTTGCCCTCTTCACCTTCTTCTCCATCTCCTCCACATCCTCCTCCTGTCTTCACCATCTTCTCTTCCTTCTCTCCTTCTTCTCTTCCTCTTCTTCCTCTCCTCCCATTTTTTTCCTCCTCTTCCTCTTCTTCCTTTGCCCTCTTCACCTTCTCTTCCTTCTTCTTCTCCATCTCCTCCACATCCTCTTCCTCCTGTCTTCTTCTTCTCCATCTTCTCTTCCTTCTCTCCTTCTCTTCCTCCTCTTCCTTTCTCCTCCTTCTCTTCCTCCTCCTTTGCCCTCTTCACCTTCTTCTCTTCCTTCGACTTCTTCTCCATCTCCTCCACATCCTCCTCCTCCTGTCTTCTTCTCCATGTTCTCTTCCTTCTCTCCTTCTTCTCTTCCTCTTCCTCCCCCTCTTCTGCTTTCTTTCTACATTTTCTTGTCCTCTTCCTCCTTCCTCCTCCATCTTATTTTTCTCTTCCTCCTCCTCTGCCTTCCTCCTCCATCTCCTCCTTCCTCTTCCTCCTTTGCCCTCTTCTCTTCTTCCTCCTCTCTTCTTCTTCTCCATCTCCTCCACTCCTCCTCTTCTACCTTCTAATTCCTTCTCCATGTCTTCCTCCTCCTTCTGTCATCTTCTACATCTTCTCCCTTTCTCTATGTCTTCCTCCTCCTTCTATGTCTCCTCCTTCTCTCTCCTTCTTCTTCTCTGCCTTCCCTTTCTCCTTCTTTCTCCTCCTCCTCTCTTTCTCTCTCTCTCCCTCCCTCCCTCCCTCAGGCATCTGGTAAATATTCATTTGCTACCTTGTCTGGGGTCCACAACGGTATGACCCTTCCAGACAACAAGGAGGAACTGATCCAAAAGGCCCGCAACAATTCCTTCGTGGCTTCCTACACCGAAATCCCTTCGGCCAAAACCATCAGCCTGGAATACAAGAGGATTTGTGGTGAGTCAGTACAATATAATCCAGGTTTGGAGGCAGCCGGCTGGATCAGGCCAAGGAGAAGACAATATTTGCAGGATCTTGAGGGAGGTGTCACCCTTTGGTGGTTGTGACGCATATTTTGAGCGACAGGGAGCCGCAGCAGAGGGGTGAAAGAGCCACATGCGGCTCCAGAGCCACAGGTTGCTGATCTCTGGTCCAGTCACTTCTTAAAAATCTCCAGTGATGGAGCTCCCACAACTTCTGAAAGCAAGCCATTCCACCGTTTGATCGTCCTCACGGTCAGGAAATTCCTCCTCCATATATTGAGTATGGAGCTCAGAATACATAATATAGCATAACAGAGTTGGAAGGGATCTTGGAGGCCTTCTTGTCCAGCCCCTTTCTCAAGCAGGAGATCCTCTACCATGTCAGACAGGTGGCTGTCCAGTCTCTTCTTAAAAACCTCCAGTGATGAAGGCACTTGAGCTTCACCTCTTGACGAGGAAGTTCTGGAGATCTTTTTGTGTGCCACTAATAGATTCCACACTCTGAAAAATAATTTGGAAATGCTGGTCAAGGCTTTCTAGAACCCCAGGTCCCTTGTTCAGCTTAGGATTCGCGGAGATACGGCGCTCCATTTGCGCTGGGCTTGAGGTCCCTGGAAAAGAAACAAGCCACGAATCTCAGTCTCGAGGTCCTTCTTCTCACGTGTCTTTGGGGTGTATGTGTCATGTTTTACAGGCTCAACTGTCGTCACAACTACCCCACCACCCCAGACAGCGGAAAACCTGACCGTCAAAGTCCATCAGCTCATCAACCTTTGCAAGCCGTGGAAGTGTTTGGATAGTAGCATCGAAATTGCCATTCTCAAGATTACTCTGGCGGTAAGGAAGTCCATTTGGGATCCTGAGCAGTTCTGCCTCAGTTTCCCTGACTGTTCCCCCTTTTCCGGGAAGGTCAGCCAAGGTTCATCAACTTCCACCGATGTTGGGCTATCTGTTCTGATCCTAGGCATTCCCCAACCACGAAGCAGACTCTTTGGCCTGACAAAAATCCCTTTTTATTAAGTTACTGTGAATTCCTCTCTTTCACATCCAGGGAAGTCTTTCAAGGGAGGATTTACTGTCACAGGCCTTATCTGGCTTGGAGAGCTGCCAGGCCGATATCTTCAAAACTTGGCCAGGAGTCAAGAACCAATTCAGTGAACTTATTGTCTCCTGCAAACTCCACTCCCCTTTCGCTCCTCTTTTATTCCCTCTGGGAGGGCCCATTCATCGTCCATCTGTGGCTTTACTCCTGAGTCGACCCTTGTTCCTTAGCTGTTCCCTTCGTCTAGCAACTCTGCGCATGCACACACTGGGAACAGGCTCCAGCTGTTCATCTGCCTCACTGATATCTGACTCCGAAGGCAGCTGGTAACTGGCATACGGCCCTGGCCCCCTCTCTGCCTCCGACGCAGAGCCCTCCCCAGGCTCCAGGACTGGCCCATGTTCCTCCCCAACCTCCTCACTGTCCGAATCTGCTGCCAGCTCCACTGGTGGACCACAACACTACGTATCCCAGAAGCCCCAGGCAGACTCCCATGGATCAAAAATATAGGGGTTGTATCAATACACCCCAACTGAGTCAGAGGTTGTGCAGGTTAGCACAACCGGGGAATCCAATCCCCTGCTGCCTTTCTCAGCAACCCTGCTGACGAGTTCTGTCGAATCCAGAAACTTGCTCATTCTCTCATTGGGTTGTCCCTGTTGAAACATCTCCCAGCTAACCATGATTTGTCCTTCTCCTTGCAACTCTAGGCCTTACATACGGAGGTCGATGCCATCACCTTGAAAGATCCCAGCTGCAGGGCCCGAGAGAACACAACTCACTTTGTGCTTAACAGCATCTTGGACAAATGTTCCACCCAACTTGAAGGGGGTGTCCATGTGAAAAACCAGGTATGGTAATTTTTTAACAAGTTGCCCCCAAAATTCTGACCTGCAGGCCCCCCAAATCCTGACCCAGAGCCCCCTAAATCTTGATTTGGAGTCTCCCAGAGCCCCCCCCAAATCTTGGTCTGAAGCCCCTCAAATCCTGGCCTGAAGCCTCCCAAAATCCTGGCCTGAAGCCCCCAAAGCCCCCAAGTCCTGGACCAGAGCCCCCAAATCCTGACTCAAATCCCCCCAAATCCTGTCATGGAGCCTCCTAAATCCTGGCCCAAAGCCCCCCAAAATCCTGGTCTGGAGTCTCCCAAATCCTGGCCTGAAGCCCCCCAAGTCCTGGCATGGCGCCCCCAAATCCTGGCATGGATCCCCTCAAATCCTGATCCAGAGCCCCCAAATCCTGGCATGGAGCCCCTCAAATCCTGATCCAGAGCCCCCAAATCCTGGCATGGAGCCCCTCAAATCCTGATCCAGAGCCCCCAAATCCTGGCATGGATCCCGTCAAATCCTGATCCAGAGCCCCCAAATCCTGGCATGGAGCCCCTCAAATCCTGATCCAGAGCCCCCAAATCCTGGCCTGAAGCCCCCCAAATCCTGGCCCAAAGCCCCCCAAGTCCTGGCATGGAGCCCCCAAATATAGCAGGGTGTTTTATGCATCTCTTTTCTCTTAAAGCAAAAATATTCAAAGGCATTTATATCAGACCCCCGCAAATACGTATTTCTTTCTCTCTTTTAATTGTTCCAGCTCATAATAATGCTGCCTGTGTTTCCGGGAAAAGTGACGGTAAGAAGAAATTTCTAAAAACAGTTATTCGGTTGTAATATCTTTCCTGAGGCTGTGCCGTTGAATTCTTTTTGATATGGCTCAATACTCGACAAACACACACTGCAGCTTTTCAAGGAATTACTCCACTGCTTTTAAAAAAAAAAAAAGTCAGAAGAGGAGGTGATAAGGGTATTATTACTTCTTTTTAAAGAAAAGCCAAGATTCTGCTTTGTTTAGCATGCAAGAGGGGAAAAAATACGCCACAGTCTTAGGGGGATGCTTTAAAGCAGGGGTCAGCAACCTGCGGCTCTGGAGCCGCATGTGGCTCTTTCATCCCTCTGCTGCGGCTCCCTGTCCCCGATCAGCTCCACAATTGATAGGGCTTTCGGTTAGGACAGGTAGAGGAAAAAGGATGCCACTCTAGGAGGAGACTCTATGGTGGGGGGGGGGACTTCTGGTCCGCTCCAGAATTGAACGGGGGGCTCCCGATTAGGACTTTTGTGGCTCTTTGAGTATTTAAGGTTGCCGATATTTGCTTTAAACACACAGAAAAATATATTTCTTTCTCAACCGCGCAACTGACTGACCCAAATCCCTAATTTCGTCCTCTTAACGTTCAATAATGTTTAGCTGTATGGTCGGCAACTGGCGGCCCCGCCTCTTAATAGCAGACCTTGGCCCTGGGTTAGGAGGGACAATTAAGACGAGACTTGTGAGAAGAGGCGATTCCTAATAGGAAAAATTATTAAGCCCTGTGAAATGCAAAGGTTCAACATTTCCGCTTTGGAAAAAAAATGGTTCCACGCAATTTTGTAATTTTTCTGCTTTGCAAAGCTACCCGTCGGCGTATTTGAGCCTCTTAAATTCTGCAGACACCGTTTGCAGATCTGGGGGAAATCCTTTTTCCTGGCTGCAAACGGATCTACTAAGGAGGGAGGGGGCAACGAATGAATCCAGTTGTTTTTTCGATCCTCGGCTGCAGGTGCCCTTTGAATGTGATCTCCCAGAGAAAGTCTCTCTCCAGCTTTACAACTCGGAAGATTTCGCCTCGCCGAGCAATCCGGTGATACAAGCTCACCAAGTCACCTATGTGGAGGTAATGCTGGTCTGGTGGATTTGGGGGGTAGGAAGGTAGACCTCGAGTCCCAAGGGCAAAAGAAGGGGTGTTGAGAGCTGAGGTCAGGGAAGGCGGTTATTTTGACTCAGCTCCCCAAACACGACAAACCCTGTGACGTGAACTCAAAAGATTCCTTTATTAGGTGCGCCGGCAGCCCCGGCAAAAAATTTCTCTCACAGGCTAGCAAGTCCAACCGGCAGGGGAGATGAATAGTTTGTCTGCCACACCTATTCATTTCCGCCCCCTGCCTTTTATCCCCCGAGCTAGGGTGGGGCCTTGTTAGCAACTGTGGCTCTTCCTTCCCAAGGATCAGCCCATAGATTTCCACTGCTCTCCTCTCCTCTGCCTTCTGTGCATCCGTGCGTCAGGCACTGGACCCAGCTGTTCCTCCTCTTCCTCATCAGCCACTTCCAGACCTGGGGGCTGTTGACTCTCCATCTGAGGGCTGACGGACGGCCCAGGCTCCGCCTCTCTCTGACAGCTCCATTCCCTCTTCCCCCCCTCGAAGCCTCGAAGGGTTGTTGTTAAGCTTGATGATGCTCCATGTCTTGGTCAAACCGAGTTTGGTGGGCAAATCTTGGTTTCCAGGTGTTGTGTGAATATGGGAAAGAGGTTAATTCAGGGATAAAGGGAGGGATGAGAACAGGGGAAGCAAACCGATCTTCGTTTCAGACCAGTGTCCTTGAAAATAATGTTGTGACCAAGATCTCCATCACCTTCCTCCTCAATGAGTGTTGTGGTGGCCTAGAGGTGGAGCTCTCGCCTCACAATCGGGAGGCGGTGAGTTCGATCCTAGGTAGAAGCTGATATTTCTCTCTCTGAGCACCATGAGAATTTATCTGCTGAACAAAACTCCGCACTGGTGACAGGAAAGGCATCCGGCCAATAAATACTCAGCTCCATTCAGTTGCCCCGACTCCACCCCGCAAGGGATTACGGGGTCGTTAAACGATGAACAACATCACCTTCCTCCTCATTAGGTCTCGCTCCGAACCGCCATGACACAGTTTTCTCTAGAAATGGAGGACTGTTTCTTAAAACCCCGAGACAACCCGCCTCAGCTGCTCTTCCACCAAGGGGTCTCGATGAGCTACTCGGTGGCGACCCTGAAATCCCCCAGCCCGAAGACCCAACGCTTCAGCTTCACCTACAAGCCAGAAGAAGAACTGTGGTCCATCGATTCGGCCACCCTGGTTTGCGTGGTCCATCTTAACACCTCGGTGAGTTGGCCTCTGAAGAACTGCCTTTATCTTGTTGACGATGATGATGATGATTATCCATTCAGCCATGTCCAACTCTTGGTACTTTTATGGGCCAGGCCTCACCAGGTCTACTGATCTTACCTTTACCTTTATTGCAGGCTAAAGTCTGCCCACTGCCATCAGTTCGATCCAAACTAGCTCAAGGTTTGACTCAGCCTTCCGTCCTTCCGAGGTCGGTCAAATGAGGACCCAGATTGTTGGGGGCAAGAGGCCGCTATTGTAAACTGTTTAGAGAGGGCTGTAAGGGACTGGGAAGCGGTATAGAAATCTAAGTGGTATTGCTATTCATCAGTTTCGGAGGCTGGATGGTGAGGTTTTCACAGATTAACAAGAGTCGGAAGGGACCTTGTAGGCCATCTAGTCCAACCCCCCGCCCAGGCAGGTGCCCTCAACTCTACCTGCTTCCTTAGAAGCAGCTGGCATCCTTTTCTCCAGTGAAATATAGGCACTTCTGGTTGCTTGGCGAACGTTTGAGGCTACGACAGCCCTCAAAAACACAGAAGATCTGGATTCCAAATTCTGAGGTGATCCTGTTGTTGCATTTTGGCCACCTGGCAACCGGCCTTCATTCAAGGCCATTTGCATCGTCCTGCAAATGACGTGACCTCAATTTAATAACATTTCCTGCCTTAAACCAGGTTTTATTTCCACTTTCCAGCCGAAAACGGCCCACTGCAGAACCATGTCTGCTTAAGACTACCGCAAAAAAACATCATAAAATTGGGTTATTTCCGTGAGCGCCTCGATTTACAAACGTCATGACGTACGATGCAAATTCTGGGCTCCGTTACGGTGCGGTGGGGAGTGGTGTGGTAGCCCAGAGGTGGAGCTCTCGCCTCACAATCAGGAGGCTGCGAGTTCGATCCTAGGTGGAGGCAGGTATTTCTCTCTCTGGGCACAATGAGAATATATCTGCTGAACAAAACTCCGCACTGGTGACAAGAAAGGCATCCGGCCAGTAAACACTCTGCTGGCTCCGTTCAGTTGCCCAGGCTCCACCCCGCAAGGGATTATGGGGTCGTTAAAGAAGGATATTTATGATCGTATGTTGAGGACTATCTGAGTTCCTTTGTATGACAGGAATTAACTCTGTTTTCTGTACTTGATCTGTGTCGGAAGATATTCGGCACTTGTCGTTTATGATATCCCTAATAACTACGGAAAAAAGATGTTTGCCGTTGCCAAATAAAGCAGCTTAAGAAAAAAGGAGGAAGAATTCTCTTTCTTTTAAATTGAACTTATTTTTCCCTTCCTTTTTTAGAACGGCAAATTCCGAAGCCACGAAGGCTCTTTAGAAGTCATGCTGAAAAACTACAACCCTGGTTCCCACAGTAAGTCGACACCTCTTTCCTACACAAAGTCGATCCATTATTTGCTTTTTTGTCGCAGGAAAGTTGATTCATGCATTTATACGTCCGTTTGGGGAAAGGCACCCTCTCATCCTCAAAATCAGCTGAGGACAGAAAATGGAAAGTTCTTTTAAACACCCGCGGATTGCTAAAGAAAAAAAACAAAAACACTTTTCGACTCCTAAAATTTATGCACTCTCAAAGACAAAGAAGTGATCTGAAAGAGACACTTTTTCATGATGGCGTTTGTGTGTTTTGGATTCCAGAATCTGTTGAGAACTGTTCTTTCCTCTTTCTGTTTAGTTCAGCCGTCCCCAAAATTCTTTTAATATTTCTTCGTTTGTTTGTGGTGGTCTCCGCTATGTTTGGCAAAGGCCATCCTCCCGTGTCTTGCCTCCTTTCTAACTTACCGAAGGTGAAAAACCCGACGACCACTAGGTGGCGGGAGAGAGTGAGTTTTCAGTGTCTCCTGCTGCCCTCTAGTGAGCATTTATAACAGAATAAGAGAGGGACCTTGGAGATCTTCTAGTCCAACTCCCTGCTCGAGCAGAAAGACCCTCTACCATTTCAGACAAGTGGCTGTCCGGTATCTTCTTAAAAGCTTCCAGCGAAGGAGCACCCACAAATTCTGGTGGCAAGCTGTTCCACTGATTTAATTGTTCTCAACTTTCAGGAAATTTCTGTTTAGTTCTAGGTTGCTTCTCTCCTTGTTTAGTTTCCATCCATTGCTTCTTGTCCTGCCTTTTGGAGAATAGGTTGAAACCCCACCTCTTTGTGGAAGGAGCTCAAATACTGGAATTCAGCTATCATGTTATCCTTAGTCCTTCTTTTCACAAAACTTAAATTATCCATTTGTCTGAAGTGGTGTAGGGTTTCCTAGTCCTTCTTTTCATTAGACTAGAATAGAGTAACAGAGTTGGAAGGCACCTTGGAGGTCTTCTAGTCCAACCCCCTGCTTAGGCAGGAAACCCTACACCACCTTCAGACAAATGGATAATGGATTCTTTTAAAGTCTTCTTTTCACAAAATTTGCACGATGGCGTCCCGTTTCTGAAACTCCAACTCAAAAGCGGTTAAGCCCTTCTCCATCTTTCTCCTTCGCCTGGCTCAAGGCCATTGCAGCAGCCGTGTCCTGGTCACCTCACCGGTGGCGACAACTTGTGATGCCTACACTTCCATCGCCACAGGGTGGGCCCCCTCCGTGGCTCAGCCGGAAGGCGTGCCCCATGACCTTAGCACGGAGCTATGGTTAGAGAAAGCGCGCACGGACAACGGAAGGGGATTTTGGCTAGAACTGAAGCCAAGCGGCCCCGCCCAAAGCCAGAAGTGGGATAATGGTGGGTGAGGTGCCATTTTTGATGTAGAACAGGCGACGGGACCCGAAGGACCTTATCTCCTCCATTATCCCAGCTGATGTGGCTTTTGACTTCGCGGAGCGCAGTTGGCGTCCGGATGTCTGTGCGAGAGAAGGAGATAAATTATAGGAGTTGAGGAAGCAGGAAGAACCGCATCTTTCCAGACGGATGTTCAAGAGATAAAGAGAATTCAGCTGGCGCAAAAAAAACAGGTCCGATCGTTGGCACGTGGCCTCCAAGTCCAGACGTTCTCCTGGAAGCTACCATGGGGGTGAAAGAAAGGGAAGAGGACAAAAGCTTTTTGGATTCAGAGATATTTCCAAAACAGGAAAAGAAGACGTTCCTGAAAATCTCCTTAGCTTTCTTTTCTTAGCAGATGTCCATGTCTACCTGTGAGGAAGACCTTGAGAAGATCTCCCCTTTGCAGGATTTCGTATTTGAGGACAATTCAGGAGAGTTTTGGGTCTCGGGAGGCCAAGTTTCCCAAAAAGCCAGCAGAATCTGGAGAAGGAAGCGTATAAAACCAGGATAAAAACCAAACCCAGTTTCATTTTCAAATGCATCCCAGCTAATAAGACAATTGTCTTCCCAGTATCAAACAATTTCCTTAATCAGTCACATTATACATACATACATACATATCAGTGGTGAAATCCAAATTTTTTTACTACCAGCTCTGTGGGCGTGGCTTGGTAGGCGTGGCAGAAGGATATTGCAAAATCCCCATTCCCTCCCCACTTCAGGGAAAGGTTACTGCAAAATCCCCATTCCATCCCCACTCTGAGAAGGTTACTGCAAAATCCCCATTCCCTCCCCACTCCAGGGGAAGGATACTGCAAAATCCCCATTCCCTCCCCACTCCTGGGGGAAGGATATTGCAAAATCTCCATTCCCATCCCACACTGGGGCCAGCCAGAGGTGGTATTTGCTGGTTCTCCAAACAACTCAAATTTCCGCTACCGGTTCTCCAGAACATGTCAGAACCTGCTGGATTTCACCTCTGATAGATAGATAGATAGATAGATAGATAGATAGATAGATAGATAGATAGATAGATAGATAGATAGATATATATATATATATATATATATATATATATATATATATATATATATATATATATATATATATATCTTGCGTTGGCCATTTTCCCTGCAGACCTGCGTAGACGCACAAGATTTCCCACTGGAGATGTGGAGATGTCTAATTACAGGTGGAGATGAAACAGCGTATGGGGGGGGAGGGAGGTTAAAAAAATATCCACATGGTGCTTCAAAAAACAACCTGCACCTGAACATCAGCAAGACCAAAGAGATGATGTTGGACTTCCGGAGGAAGAGAGAGGAACCTGCCCCACTTTACATCGAGGGGGGCTGTGTAGAGAGAGCTTCCTCCTTTAAATTCCTGGGAATCCATCTCAGCAAAGACTTCACCTGGAAAAACAACACGATTCAGGTGGCCAGAAAGGCGCAACAGAGACTCCGTTTCCTTAGGGTCTTGTGTAAAAACAGGGTGGAACAACTGATGACCTCCTTTTACCGGTCCACAACAGAAAGCTTCCTCACTTATTGCATCTCGGTGTGGCATGTCGGTTTGACAGCCGTGGATAGAAAAACACTACAAAGGGTGGTGAGCACAGCAGAAAAAATCATGATCTGTCCACCGATACCACTAGATGAGATCGCTAGGGCTCGCTGCCTTAGACGAGTGAGGAAAATCCTCAGGGATGACTCTCACCCTGGTCACCACTTCTTCATCCTCCTACCATCAGGAAGGAGATATAGAAGCATAGCCAGCCGCACAAATAGGCTGAAGAACAGTTTTTATCCGTGGGCTGTCCAGACTCCTGAATGCGAAATAACATCGCAACTACCCTGTTTCCCCCAAAATAAGACATCCCCTGATAATAAGCCCAATCGGGCTTTTGAGCACATGGCAATAAGGCCAAGCGCTTATTTCAGGGTTCAAAATAATATAAGACAGGGTCTTATTTTCGGAGAAACACAGTAGATAGATAGATAGATAAGATAGATAGATAACGGATAGATAATGGATAGATAGATAACAGATAGATAGAATAGATAGATATAGATAACTGATAGCTGGTAGCTGAGAGAGAGAGAGAGAGAGAGAGAGAGAGAGAGAGAGAGGGAGAGGGAGAAATAGAGATAGATAGCAGATAGATAGATAGAAAGATAAATAGAGATAGATAACTGATAGATTAGATAGGTACGATACCCTGTTTTCCCCAAAATAAGACATCTCCTGATAATAAGCCCAATCGGGCTTTTGAGCACACGGCAATAAGGCCAAGCGCTTATTTCAGGGTTCAAAATAATGTAAGACAGGGTCTTATTTTCAGGGAAACACAGTAGATAGATAGATAGATAGATAGATAGATAGATAGATAGATAGATAGACAGACAGACAGACAGACAGACAGACAGACAGACAGACAGACAGATAGATAGATAGATAGATGATAGATAGAATAAAGATAGATATAGATAACTGATAGCTGGTAGCAGATAGATAGATAGATAGATAGATAGATAGATAGATAGATAGATAGATAGATGATAGATAGCAGAGAGAGAGAGATAGCAGATATATAGCAGATAGATATATAGATAGAAAGATAAAGAGATAGATAACTGATAGATTAGATAGATACACTGTTTCCCCCAAAATAAGACATCCCCTGATAATAAGCCCAATCGGGTTTTTGAGTGCATGGCAATAAGGCCAAGTGCTTATTTCAGGGTTCAAAAAAATATAAGACAGGGTCTTATTTTCGAAGAAACACGGTACGTAGTACAATGGACTTTATTTTATTTTTTTTAATTTGATTTATATGCCGCCCTTCTCCGAAGACTCAGGGCGGCTTACAATGTGCTCAGCAATAGCCTTCATCCTTTTGTATATTTATACAAAGTCAGCTTATTGCCCCCGCAAACTGGGTCCTCATTTCACCTACCTTAGAAAGGATGGAAGGCTGAGTCAACCTTGAGCCTTGGCGAGATTCGAACCCTGCAGTAATTGCAGGCAGCTGGTCTTAAGCAGCTTAATAACAGGGTGCCTTAAACCCTAGTACTACCAAGGCTCTAGTACTACCAAGGCTCTAGTACTACCAAGGACTTGCAGGGCTGGCGCGACGTGTAACATGTTCACACAAGTGCAGTAGGACTGGGTGTTTTGTTAATGTGATTTATTGGTTTAGGGATTTTCTGTCTTCACTGTGAGTTGTGTTGTGTTGTGGGGGGGGGTGCACTGAGGGAGCTCCACCAATCTCATTGCACGTATGTTGTGCACCGACAATAACGATATTTGAAATTTGTAGGATGAAGGGAGAGATTTCCCAAAATAAATCGAAGCCACTTCAAGAGGGATGAGCCCTATTCCCGCTGACTAAAGATTTTGCAGGTGTAGGGACACGAGGATGGGGGAGGCAGGCATGGAAGGGGGCCTCCTCGCAATTCCTTCCTGCCAATTGAGTAGCATTTCCAATATGGATGTTTTCCATCCTTCTGTCGTCCTCCTTCCTGTCTCGCTCCTGTGCGGCTCCCGACGGACGGCAAAACAATAAAACAAGGAAAAACTCTTGACACGAACTCGGCCCCAGAGGGCCTCGGCCGAGCACATTGCGCACGTCGGATGAGTCGCATGTTCGGTGTCCTTGTTTTGGCACAGGAAAGTCTCGGGAGAAACGTGCCTGGTCTTAAGAAAGGTGTCTCTTGGGGGAAACAAAAGGCTTAGATAGTGAGAGCTGGACAGGTAGTCCTCGATTTACGACACAACCGGGGCAGGAAGCAAGGAATTTTTGAAAACATCTCTGCCAAATGTTGGAAATGTAATCAGATACCGGGTCCGTATTATCACATGTGGTGGAAGTGCCCCAAAACAAAAAATATTGGACCAAAATACATACGTGGTTAGAAAAAAAAAATCATAAAGCAACATACTGACTTTTTTGACCCGAATTATTCCTGTTGGGTATTTTACCAGAACTGTATAATAAAAGGAATACACATCTATTTTTACACGTGTTAACAGCAGTGTACAACAGTGCAAAAATAAAGAGATCCCTTCAGATGGAAGTGTTATAAAAAAAAAATTAGAATGCGCAGAGATGGATAGACTAACATTAAAAATAAAAGAGAAGGAAGAAACAGAATATTTCTTAACATGGGATTTGTTTTGCCAATGGCTAACAAACAGAAACAGAGGTTAGAAATGAAAAAGATTAAGAGAATGATTAATCGCATAACAAAAGCTTTCTAGTACGGATAAAATAATGTCAATAATATTAGGTGACAATTATTAACGATATGCATATTGTGACTACTACGTTTGTTGTCTTTTTGTCATTCAAAACGAATTGTACTCGGACAACACGCTGTTCGTATAAATATTGAGGTTTTTTTTATGTTTATGAAAGAAAATTATATTGAAATAAACATCGATTTAAAAATAAAAAATAAAGCCAATCTCATCTAATGTTTTAATTCCTTCTCTGTAGATGAAGGCTTGAGGATTAGCACCGTGCTGGGAATCGCCTTCGGGGCTTTTCTGATCGGAGTCCTGCTCACCGGGGCGTTGTGGTACATCTATTCTCACACTCGTAAGTTGTGGTTGCTTCCAAGGAACGCTTGTTTGCGTGATGGAGACGGGGTGGAGGAATGGCACACATCCACCGACGTGAATCCCCTTTAGAGGTGAATTTTGTGGTCAGAGCTCAACAATCTAAGGAGGGAGGGTGTTTGCGGGCACCAGAAACTGATTTCTGCTTTGTGGTCGCTAGTCCTCATGATTCTAAAGGAATCATAGTTATAACGGGAACATCGCAAGCTCTTCAGCCATCGGTTTAACTCAAGATGACCAAATGGAGCAGGAGGTTAGAGTAACGATCTTTTGCAGATTTATCCGGAGATGCCTTTTCCATTCGGGACCCCCTTATCTTTATTCGCCCGTCTTCCCCTCCCTCTCGGTCCCTCCAATTCCCAACAGGAGACATCTGGTCCTGTTTGGCAGCCCGACCTGCATATTTTCCTTAATAATCTCTGGAAAAGTGGAGGAGCTGCAATCGCTGAATCTTTATCTGCTTTTCGTGATGGTCTGGCAAAGTTTACTCCTGGTTGGAGAAGGCGGTGGGAAAGCATTCGGTCAACCCCGTTGGGATTTTGCAAAGCCAAACAGGCCGCCATGTGTCTTCTGTCTCCTTGTCAGCTCCCAGTTGGGTCCAGCATGGGAAATTTTCCCCCGTAGAAGACCGTATCTGTAGCTCAGAGTTGAACTGTGGGTTCCCCAATTGAGTTGTTGGCTTGCAGATGTCTCATTACCCAACTAGAGAACATTATCATCAGAAGAGAGTTGGAAGGGACCTTGGAGGTCTTCCAGTCCAACCCTCTGTTCAAGCAGAAGACCCTCATTGCAGACAAATAGTTGTCCAATCTCTTCTTAAAATCCTCCAGTGATGGAGCACTCACAACTTCTGGAGGGAAGCTGCTCCACAGATTAATTGTTCTCCCTGTCAGGAAATTCTTCCTTAATTTCAGGCTGCTTCTCTCCTTGATTAGTTTCCATCCGTTGCTTCTCGTCCTGCCTTCTGGTGCTTTGGAGAATAGCTTGACCCCCTGCCCCTCTTTTTTGTGGTAGCCCCTTAAATATTGGAAGACTTGAAAGGTCAACCAGGTTTCCCACTCACTACCATGTTGCCCCCCCCCCCAGTCCTTCTCTTTACCAGGTTCTCTTGATGCTATCTAGATGGGTCGTGACACATCCGCTAACCAACAACTCAACTGAGAGAGCACCAAGGATTCTAGAATTCTCCCCCACCTGGTACCTTCTCCTAACAGCACGTCCCTTTTTAATTTTATTTTTGAAAAGAGTTTTTTATTTTTATTTTTCATCAACATGTTTAAATGTACAGTCTTTTATCCATCCTTATACATCGTTCGTTCATCTTCTTCTTTAACTTCCATTAATCAATTAATTTATTATTTGTTCGGGTCTGCTCTTTTACCATTTTCTTCTTTTGTTTTACTACAATCTTCCCTTCTTTCTCCTCCTTTCTTTCTTTTTTCCTCATTCCTCCTCTCCTTTCCTTTCCTACTTCCTTTCCTTTTCCCCCTCTCCTCTCTTCTTCCTCCCCTCCTTCCTCTCTTCTGTTCTTCTTTCCTCTTCCTTCTTCCTCTCCTTTTCCCACTCTTCTTTTCTCTTCCTCTCACCTCCCAACTCCCTCACTTTCCCCTCTCTACTCTTCCCCTCTTTTCCATTCCTTTGTTGTTTCCTTTTTTAATTCAATCTGAGATGGTATTCGAGCAGACCCAATTTCTATTTACAATTTCATTTTTTACCTTACTATTATTCCTCTAGTATTCCTGTACATTTTTAAATCAATCCATGTATCATCTGGGTATCACATTTGTGCTATCATCTTCAAAGTTTACCACTATTTCTTAAAATATATATTGATCTTTCCTTCTTTCATTTAATTTTAATATACTAACTACAACATATCCATCTCAAAGTTCTTGTCTTTATCCTGTTTAATTATCTATACTCACTTTCTATCCATGGATAAAATTTCCCCCAAATGTTGTAATACTCCAACTAGGTTTCCCACTCACTTCCCTGTCGCCCCCCCAGTCCTTCTCTTTACCAGGTCCTCTTGATGCTATCTAGATGGGTCGTGACACATCAGCTAACCAACAACTCAACTGAGAGAGCACCAAGGATTCTAGAATTCTCCCCCACCTGGTATCTTCTCCTAACAGCACATCCCTTTTTTATGACTTCCAACCCATTCCAGGTCCCATCACCAAAACCCAACCAGCCTTGGCAAATCCGCCTGCATCGGAGAGCAGCAGCACCAACCACAGTTTGGGCAGCACCCAGAGTACCCCCTGTTCCACCAGCAGCATGGCATAGCAGCACCCTGGAAACGGGGGAAAGCCACAAGGACTTCTCAGAGGGAAAAGCTATCAGGGACTGCAGAGCAGTTGGGTTCCAAGCTTGGTGAGGAAGCGTCATCTCCATGCCAAGCGGACTTCGGTTCTTCCTCTTCCTACGTCGAAAATCTCGGCATTTCCAACCAGCAATTTCAAAAGCAACTTTTTGGAAACCATCGGGATGGATTGAGGGGCACAGGGGTCCCACTATCTTAATTTGGGACTAGCCATCGGATCCCCATTGATGTGCCGAGGTCTTCAAGATTGGACTGTTGGATTAGACTCTTCTCGTGTTAGGCACCAGGTAGTGAGTGGGAGGACAGGTGGCGGAATTCAAATTTTTTTTTTCCTACCGGTTCTGTAGGCGTGGCATGGCTTGGTGGGCGTGGCAGGGGAAAGATATTGCAAAATCCCCATTCCCACCCCACTCCTGGGGAAGGATCCTGCAAAATCCTCATTCCCTCCCCACTCCAGGGGAAGGATATTGCAAAATCCCCATTCCCTCCCCACTCCAGGGGAAGAACACTGCAAAATCTCCATTCCCTCCCCACTCCAGGGGAAGGATACTGCAAAATCTCCATTTCCTCCCCACTCCAGGGGAAGGTTACTGTAAAATCTCCATTCCCTCCCCACTCCAGGGGAAGGATACTGCAAAATCCCCATTCCCTCCCCACTCCAGGGGAAGAATACTGCAAAATCTCCATTCCCTCCCCACTCCAGGGGAAGAATGCTGCAAAATCTCCATTCCCACCCCAGCCAGAGGTGGTATTTGCTGGTTCTCCGAACTACTCAAAATTTCCGCTACCGGTTCTCCAGAACCTGTCAGAACCTGCTGGATTTCACCCCTGGTTGAGCCTCTATGGACTTTTGCTAATTTGTTAACCAGAGTGGCAGCTAACCTCGCTTCCAAAAGAAACCAGGATAAACTAGATTTGGGGAGGTTTGCTTTGTCTCCTGTCTAAAACCCTTGAGACAAAAGTATTGTCTGAATCAGGAATCCCTCCCAAGATTGAAAAGTGTTTACCTTCTCGTGGGCCCGTCCTCCAGCTCTCAAAGTCCAACTTCGGTGGTGGGCCAAGGCTTTGGCCCATCAGCTACAGAGGTCTTCCAAGGTGCCATCAAATCCAGATAACGCCAGGAATTTCTGTTCCCCTTTCTGATGGATTTGGAGTTGACCTTTCAGCGGGATGCACCCAACTCGGATTCCCATCAACTTTCAAGAGTGAAGACGCTGGGGATCATGGGAATGAGTGCCCACCTGAAAAATAGCCACTTTCTCTTTAAGAGAACAGCAAAGGGACCCCTCCTCTTAAGATTGGCATGGCTGCCACCTTTCAAGATAGAAGAAGCTAGTGTTGAGCAGGGGGTCAGACTAGAAGGCCTCCAAGATCCCATTATTTAGTTAAGTCAAAGAGTTAATGCAGGAGGGCAGCCCCCCCCCCCAAGATAATGGCAAATCATATCCCTGGATTTTGGAGTACATCCGCACCCCGCTTCGTTGGGTTTTCACACACCATGGGCCGCCCCGAGAATTAATCCAAATTATACTCACTTCAGCCGGTTTGTGTGAAAAGAGCCAATAGGTTTTTAGCATTCCTCCTCGTTGTAAAAGGACACGGGGGCCACCTCTGTTCTGAAAAGACGTATAATTGTACGTATATAAATAACTATACATAGAATATATTTTGTAAACTGTATACAGGGAAATAATACCGCGCCTACTCACCGTTGTCAGTTCTGCATGTGGTTATTTTAAACTCCTCGGATGGACGAAGGGGCTAAAACAGGATCCCAGAGGCCATTAAATTGAGGGGTGGGGGAAGCCCACAGGGGAAACTGAGTCACGCCTGCCAGCGTCCCACCAGATGCATTTCCGATCAACGTCAAGAGCCCAGCAGGAGCTGCTCCAGCTGCAAATACAGATGCTGGAAGGCTTGGAAACTGTTTGGGTTTGATTGACAGATGCAAATAAGGATAGGGGGGGGTTGGGGTTTTTTTTTTGCAGCAAGCGGACCTATTTTGCATACAGACTTTTGTCGCCCCCTGGAGGCCGGGATGTGTTTTTGTCGGGCCCCCTGTTGGATGGTTTTAAAAATGCACGTTGAAAGACTCCAAAAAGGAGCAGCTCAACGGGTCAGTTCCCGTCAAAAGCATGAAACATGTAACCAACAGATGAGCAAAGAATTCCAATTTGTCAGGTTTCATTTATTCATTTGGAGCATTTATTCGCTTGGAATCTGAGTCTCTTGTCAGTTTTTTTTTTTTCTCCCCTTCTCCCCCAATATTCCAAAATTTACGCTCAGTCAGTTTTTACAAAGGACGCTCGAAAGAGAAACAAGTTAAAGACGTTTAAAAATAGCTGTAAACAATGTTAAAATAAAAGCACATTTTCTTCCATAAATTACTTTTATAAAGTCAGCATGGTTTACACTTCCTGCTCGTTGGCTGGGGAGGAAAGGGGGACAGGAAGGAGGAAAGAGAGACCCCCGGATATTAGGGAAGCAGGAAAATTATTATTATTATTTAAAATAACAGTCGCCATCTGTTTGGTGCTTTGAGAAAGTCACAAGATCACCCCATCCACCCTGGGGGAAAAAAAAAAAATCCCAGAATTGCATCAGTGCAAGACAACATTCCAGTTCGACGGCTTGCAAAATTCCAGAGGGAGGGAGGGAGGGAGGAATTAAAACAGAATAAGTTTGCAGGCTCCATTTGCAAGATATTCGGAGAATGTACGCCCAGCAATAGGCAGCTTAGACACGAGGGAGGCTGGTTTTGCCTATCTTGAAATCCTGCAAAAGAAATTTGAAACCACCCCAGAAGAGGAGGCCAAGGGGCTGCAGGAGTGGGGGGGGGAATCTAGGGGTAATTTAATCCCCACTTTTATGCAACTTGGAGAGCGTGAGCATAACATTGCATAAAAAGAGGATTTCATCCAAGTTTAGCAATCCTTCTTTGGAGGGTGGGGAAGGGAGGAGAATTCGCTAGATTTGAAGCGAAGTCCTAAGGAAAAATAGAAATGCACCAGAGCAGGTTCTCCCGCAAGAATGGAAAATAGGAAGGAAGGAAGGAAGGAAGGGGATGGGTGGGTGGGTGGGTGGGAGGGCAAGGCAGGGAAGGGAAAGGAAAGGAAAGGAGGAAGGGAAAGGAAGAAGGGAAGGAAAGGAAAGGAAAGGAAAGGAGGAAGGGAAGGGAAAGGAAAGGAAGAAGGGAAGGAAAGGAAGAAAGGAAGGGATGGGAAAGGAAAGGAGGAAGGGAAAGGAGGAAGAGAAGGGAAGGGAAGGGAAGGGAAGGGAAGGAAAGGAAAGGAAAGGAAAGGAAAGGAAAGGAAAGAAGGAAGGGAAAGGAAAGGAGGAAGGGAAAGGAAGAAGGGAAGGGAAGGAAAGGAAAGGAAGAAGGGAAGGGAAAGGAAAGGAAAGAAAAGGAAAGGAGGAAGGGAAGGGAAAGGAAAGGAAAGGAAGAAGGGAAGGAAAGGAAAGGAAAAAAAGAAGGGATGGGAAAGGAAAGGAGGAAGGGAAAGGAGGACGGAAAGGAAAGGAAAGGAAAGGAAGAAAGGAAGGGATGGGAAAGGAAAGGAGGAAGGGAAAGGAGGACGGAAAGGAAAGCAAAGGAAAGGAAAGAAAGGAGGAAGGGAAGGAAAAGGAGGAAGGGAAAGGAGGACGGAAAGGAAAGGAAAGGAAAGGAAAGAAGGAAGGGAAGAGAAGGGAAAGGAAGGAAGGGAAGGAAGAAGGGAAGGGAAAGGAAAGGAAAGGAAAGGAAAGGAAAGGAAGGGAAGGGATTGCAAAAAGAAGCTAAACTAGCTTTACTGGTCTCCCTCCTTTCGTAACTCTCAGTGCCCACAAGGGAGTTTAAAAAAAAACGAAGCCTTCCAGCCATTAAAGAGTTTTTACCCCAAAGTATTTGCAGAAAGAAGACAGGGAAAGTTTGGGCAACACAGAAGCCTCTCAAGAACACCCAAAAGTTCCCCTAAAATTAAGGGGAGGCCGATCCAGTCAAGGCTGCCAATGTGGGGAACATTTTGATCAGGTTTCCACGCACACACGCACGCCACGCCACCCCCACCCCCCTCAAACCGCCTCAATTCCTCTCGCGGAACGCAGGCCGAATTCTCCCGGTGGGTTAAAAGAAGCTGGCGTTGGGGAACTACAGTGCCCATCAGCCACAGCCTACCCCTAGAGGGAAGGAAGATGGGAGAGGTAATCTGACCGCCGCACTTTTGAGTAAGAATGGATGTGGGCAATGGTAAGAGTCCCATTCCAGGAAGGGGCGGGGGGCGGTTGAAATGCTTGGTCCCACCGTCCCGAAAATTATCGAAAGTTTTGGCAGCTCGTTGGAAGAACACGGTGATTCTTTCTCTCCCCTCCCCACCCCCCAAAAGGCACTTGGATCTCAAGGGGGATCAGCCCAGGGACACCCCCCACCCCAAAACCGGTCCATGCCCTACTATCAGTCCTGCTAAGCCTGCTTTTCTGGACTCAACTGTAGTAGGCACCAAGCACGCAGAAGCATCGTACCCTATACAACAGGTCCTTTTTGGATGTCCACCACCCCAAAACGGAGGTCCAGAAATAGAGATGGGGGAGCTCAAAGATGGGGTGGGGGGTACCGTTTGTGACAAGTGAGTAGCAGCGTCCCCGTCCCCCCCCCAAGGGTAGCCCAACGGATCAAGGCAGCAAGTGATCAAAGATGGAGATGGAAAAGATGGAGGAACATCGGCGAACGAGTGAGTTGAGAAGGCACGTGGCAGTCTCGGGAGGCGTGGTGGCTTGTATCTTGCCTCGGGTTGTGCTGAGGGACATCCTGTGTGGACGCACCCTGTCCATTGCTCGAGGCTGGAGGAGATGGTTGACCTCCACAAGAAGGTCCCCGCTTGGTTATGAGAAGAAGGACCGTGTCTCCAAGCTTGTGGAGCAGTTGGACCTCAAGTGGTTCAACCATCAACGTTCAAACTATCAGGCAAGATGCCACCAACCACAGCTGTCTGGAGTTCGATTCGCTTCGGTCTAGGATTCAACCCGGATCTCCCAGGAATGGCGTGGCTGGACGTGCCCTGTGGTGCCACACCACGGATAGGAGCGAGACATCAAGGCCTCTGCTGCCCTATCCACGTTGGCAGAAGGCGGCGTCCCACGGGCCTACTGAGAAAGGTTGGGATCCAGCAGCTTCAAGACGCCCCCGACCAGATGCAGACTGCCCGTCACGAGGACACGGATGGCCACCGCTTCCTTGAGCAGAACAGCCCCGCTGCTGGCCACGGGGTGCGGGTGGAGTCCCTGGGGCACCAGCGCCGGCAAGTTTGGGTCCCGGCCTTGGGTGATCCATTGCAAAGCGTGCGAGATGCAAGGGAAAACCAAGGAGTTGGAATTGAGCGGGCGGGTGGAGGAGGCGGCGAAGATCGGGGGGCTGTGATGCAGGGGCTGCTTCAGCCAGCCCCCCACCTCGGGCAAGACGGGGAACCAAGGGTCCTGCGTCAACTTGGCCTCCATCAGCCGGTTCCAGTGGTTCTGATTCTGCAGGCAGCGCGTCAGGACGTTCTCCAAGGTGACGTTGAAATTCTGCTGATCTGCAGAAGATTTGGAAAAAAAACAACAAGGAAGGGGAGGGGAGAAGTTAGAATGAAGCCCCCTCCTCACTTCAATATTTTGCAAATATTGTCAGGAAAGCCATAGACCAGGGGTGTCAAACTCAAGGCCTGGGGGCTTAGATCTGGCCTGCGGGGCCGCCCTGGAAATAGTGAAGGACTGGCCCGCAGTGCCTCCCCCAGTGAAAACGGAGCTTGGGAGGGACGCGTACGGCCTGCTCAACCTCCGTTTTCGCTGGCAGCAGGAGGCCGTTGCACCCAAAAACGGGGCTCGGGAGTCCGTTTTCACTGCCAGAGCGCTCGGGCCGCCACAGGCGTCCCCGACACGAGTGACGTCGAGCTGACCACGCCCAGCCCAGCCCCCCAAGTTCAAACACAACCCTGAAGAGGCCCTCCATGAAATCGAGTTTGACACCCCCGCCATAGACCAAAGACCCCTTCACAGGGGTGAAATGCTCCCGGTTCGGACCGGATCGGGCAATCCGATAGCGATCGTGGCAAGTGGTTCGGCGATCTGGTAGCAATGGTGGAGCAAAGATCTGCCCACCTGCCCGAGTGTCGTTATACTTCCTGGTTTGATCCAGGAAGTAATGTGTTTTTTACATGCGCAGAAGGTCTGCGCGTGCATGTGATGCGTGCATGCGCTTCCAAACCGGTAAGGAAGGTAAGTAGATTTCCCCCCTGGCCCTTCAGTCCTTAACTTAGAACTTAGAATCACTTTATTGTTGCTTGGAATGTACACTAAACGGGCATACGTTAAAAATGAATTTCCCGTTGCATACAGAGCTCTCAAAGGGTGACCCACTCCAATATACACTACAGAAAGGTGACAAAATAAATAAATAAATAAATAAATAAATACAAAATTAGGGCATATACTAATATTCAGCCGGTTCGGATCGGTTCGCCTGAACCGCTAGCGGAAATTGAAGGTGGAACCGCCCACCTTCTGTTCTGCCCCAGCTACGGACCCCAAAGAACGCAGCACACACTAAGTCCGTTGAAACCTTGGTTTAATAAATAAATCAGTCTTTTGCAACAACGGCTGTTAATTAACTGCATTAACAGCCGCCAAGAATTCAAAGAATAATAACTGAAAGCTTACTGTGGTTGGCAGAATGCCCAGAAGCAATTTGCAGGAAGCTGATGTGATAAGCAAGACAAGACACGAAGGTATGTGAACAAAGTTGTTCCCTGCAAATTGCTTCAGTCGGGGTTCCTCCTTAAATAGGCTAAGGGAGTGGTCAATTAGCCCCCAAGCCTTACTCTTGAGGAGACCTCCTCCTAAGGAGCCACTCCTGCCTTTTGGCAGCTCTGCGCGCCCGTGCATCGAGAAGACGCTCCTCCTCTTCGTCCTCTTCACTTAAGGGAGCTTCTGAAGGCCCTGGCTGAATCCCCGTCTCTGGCACCACATCTTCTCCAGCCTCCTCACTGTCCGACTCGAGTGACAGCTGCAGAGGCTGCTGGCGCAGCACCACACCAGCCTCCTTGCTGTCGGAATCAGCTACTACCTGCACAGGCCGCGTATGGGCCACAACCCCTTCCCCTGGCTCTATGCCATCCTTTTGAGGCCGGGCGCAGGTGAGGAAGGCAGGCGCAGGCGCGAACTGGGCACGCACTTGTACGCTCGATTCACGAGAGTACGCGGCAAACCAGTAGTAACATAATGGGAAACCCACCGCTGGCACATACCCGCATATATTATATGACGCGGAGAAACCTCAAAACTCGCCTCAACCCCTACCTGCGTTGCCCGCCGTCGACACCTCTGTGTAGTTGGGGCAGAACACGGCGTAATCAAAATGGCAGGGCTGTAAAAGAGAAAACAGCCAAGAGGAGTGAATCAGGTTTAAGCGTTGTTGTCCCGTTTTGGGTGCTGGTCCTTAAAGGAATCGCTTGCAACCTGGAGGGACGGGGAGGTCGTGGGAATGAGAAGACTCAGCTCACCAGCAAAAGTTTCAGCAAAGCCGCCGTATCCCGGTCTCCCGTCACGTTGAAGAGCAGCACTCGAACTTCGGAACCGCTGGAAACGCAGGGAAAGAAATGGTTATTTCATCAGCCGTTCTCTGCATTTTGTCCTTCTTTCCTTCTTCCTTAACTACTTCCTTCCTTTCCCAACCCTCTCCTTCCTTAACTCCTTCCTTCCCTCCCTTCTTCCTTACTTTCCTTCCTTCCCTCCCTCTTTTCTTCCTTCCTTAACTCTTTCCTTCCTTTCCCAATTCTTTCCTTCCCTCTTTCTCTCTCCTTTGTTCCCTCCCTTTCCTTCCTTTCCCTTCTTCTTCCTTCCTTAACTCCTTCCTTCTTCCTTAACTTTCCTTCATTTCCCATTTCCTTCCTTCCCTCTTTCCCTCCCTTCATTGTCTCCCTCCCTCCCCTCTTCTTCCTTCCTTAACTCCTTCCTTCTTCCTTAACTTTCCTTCATTTCCCAATTCTTTCCTTCCCTCTTTCCCTCTCTCCTTTGTTCCCTCCCTTTCCTTCCTTCCCCTTCTTCCTTCCTTAACTCCTTCCTTCTTCCTTAACTTTCCTTCCTTTCCCAATTCCTTCCTTCCCTCTTTCCCCCTCCTTCGTTCTCTCCCTCCCTTCCCTCTTCTTCCTTAACTCCTTCTTTCCTTACCTTCCTTCCTTCCATCTTTCCTTCCTTTCCCAACTTCCTTCCTTCTCTCCCTCCCTCTCCTTCCTTCTTTAACTCCTTCCTTCCCTCCCTTCTTCCTTACTTTCCTTCCTTCCCTTCTTCCTTCCTTCCTTAACGCTTTCCTTCCTTTCCCAATTCCTTCCTTCCCTCCTTCTTCCTTCCTTAACTCTTTCCTTCCTTTCCCAATTCCTTCCTTCCCTCCTTCCCTCCCTCATTCCTTCCCTCCCTTTCTTCCTTAAATCTTTCCTTCCTTTCCCAACTTCTTCCTTCTCTCTTTCCCTCCCTCCTTCCTTAACTCCTTCCTTCCTTCCCTCCTTCTCTTTCTCTTTTCACCATAAAAAAGGGGATTTCCAGTCCTACTGTAATGCAAAACTACAGCCCAGAAATGCAGCAATATAGAATCCCCGATCCGTTTTGCAAAAGGTATTTCCGTTGCTGAGGATTTTCGGCTCTCTTCCCTCCCTTCCCTCTTCTTCCTTAACTCCTTCCTTCTTCCTTAACTTTCCTTCCTTTCCCAATTCCTTCCTTCCCTCTTTCCCCCTCCTTCGTTCTCTCCCTCCCTTCCCTCTTCTTCCTTCCTTAATTCCTTTCCTTTCCTTCCTTCCTTCCATCTTTCCTTCCTTTCCCAACTTCCTTCCTTCCTTCTCTCCCTCCCTCTCCTTCCTTCCCTCCCTTCTTCCTTACTTTCCTTCCTTCCCTTCTTCCTTCCTTCCTTCACGCTTTCCTTCCTTTCCCAATTCTTCTTCCTTCCTTCCTTAACTCCTTTCTTAACTCCTTCCTTCTTCCCTCCTTCCTTTCCCAATTCCTTCCCTCATTCCTTCCCTCCCTTTCTTCCTTAAATCTTTCCTTCCTTTCCGAACTTCTTCCTTCTCTCTTTCCCTCCCTCCTTCCTTCCTTAACTCCTTCCTTCCTTCCCTCCCTTTCTTCCTTAAATCTTTCCTTCCTTTCCCAACTTCTTCCTTCTCTCTTTCCCTCCCTCCTTCCTTAGCTCCTTCCTTCCTTCCCTCCTTCTCTTTCTCTTTTCACCATTAAAAAAAGGGGATTTCCAATCCTACTGTAATGCAAAACTACAGCCCAGAAATGCAGCAATATAGAATCCCCGATCCGTTTCGCAAAAGGTATTTCCGTTGCTGAGGATTTTCGGCTCTCTTCCCTCCAGCTTCAGAACAAGAGATCTCACGCCAACACTCCCACCTCATCCCTGCTTACTCTGTAGGTTTGTCTTCGTTCAGGGCCGCTTGGCGAAACCAGCGGATGCACGCCTGCATACTGCTGGTGGTGTGGGCCCCGTCGATGTACCACGTCACCGGCCCGTGGTGTAGCACCTGGTTACGTCCGAGCCACACGGCCGCTTGCAAGCCTGGGAAGCAAAGCAAAACTCAGCCAAGTTGCCTTGTTAGACTGCTGAGAACTCTGCAGCCTCCTGATCAGGAACTAAGTTTCTAGTCCTCATGATTCCGGAAGGAATCCGATAAGAGAGGAGGCCAGAATCTGGTTAAAACATAGGCTTAAAAAGGAAACCAATATGGAAAGTCTTTTGCGTTGGTTCTTTTGTCTCCTGCAAAGCTAGGAGTGGTGGTTAGCCAGTATCACGCTAAGCTATGAATGGTGGTTCTCAAATGCTGGCTTCACACAACACAGGGATTAAGGAGAAACTTCCTAACAGTGAGGACAATTAACCAAGGGAACAGCTTGCCTTCAGAAATCGTGGGGGCTCCATCACTGGAGGCTTTTAAGAAGAGGCTGGACCAGGGGTATCAAACTCGCGGCCCGCGGCCCAGATACATCATGTGCTGGCCCCATCCCCGCCCTGTTTAGCGAAAGGGGGGGGGAAGTCCCGATACGTCACGTGATGCTGTGACGACGCAAGTTTGACCCCCACCCTGGACTAGACAATCACTTATCTGAAATGCTTAAGCAGAGGGATGGACTACAAGACCTCCAAGGCCCCTTCCAGCTCTATTCTATTTCTATTCCCATTTCTTTTCTGTTTCTTTTCTTATTCTAATCTATCCTATTTCTATTCTATTTTTCTTATTCTATTCCTTTTCTTATTCTATTTCTTTTATTCTATTTCTTTTCTTAGTCTACTCCTTTTCCTTTTCTATTCTATTCTATTCTTCTTAGTCTACTCCTTTTCTTAGTCTATTCCTTTTCTTATTCTATTCTATTCTATTCTATTCTTCTATTTCTTTTCTTATTCTATTTCTTTTCTTAGTCTATTCCTTTTCCTATTCTATTCTATTCTATTCTATTCTTCTATTTCTTTTCTTATTCTATTTCTTTTCCTATTCTATTCTATTCTATTCTATTCTTCTATTTCTTTTCTTAGTCTATTTCTTTTCTTAGTCTATTCCTTTTCCTATTCTATTCTATTCTATTCTATTCTATTCTATTCTATTCTATTCTACTTTTCTTATTCTATTCCTTTTCTTAGTCTATTTCTTTTATTCTTTTTCTTTTATTCTATTTCTTTTCTTAGTCTACTCCTTTTCCTATTCTATTCTATTCTATTCTATTTTTCTTAGTCTATTCCTTTTCTTAGTCTATTTCTTTTCTTAGTCTACTCCTTTTCCTATTCTATTCTATTCTATTCTTCTTAGTCTACTCCTTTTCTTAGTCTATTCCTTTTCTTATTCTATTCTATTCTATTCTATTCTATTCTATTCTATTCTATTCTATTCTATTCTATTCTTCTATTTCTTTTCTTATTCTATTCCTTTTCTTAGTCTATTCTATTTTTCTTATTCTATTCCTTTTCTTAGTCTATTTCTTTTCTTAGTCTATTCCTTTTCCTATTCTATTCTACTTTTCTTATTCTATTCCTTTTCTTAGTCTATTTCTTTTATTCTTTTTCTTTTATTCTATTTCTTTTCTTAGTCTACTCCTTTTCCTATTCTATTCTATTCTATTCTATTTTTCTTAGTCTATTCCTTTTCTTAGTCTATTTCTTTTCTTAGTCTATTCCTTTTCCTATTCTATTCTATTCTACTTTTCTTATTCTATTCCTTTTCTTATTCTATTCCTTTTCTTATTCTGTTCTATTCTATTCTGTTCTATTCTATTCTACCTTTCTTATTCTATTCCTTTTCTTATTCTGTTCTATTCTATTCTATTCCCTATCCTATCCTAGCCTATCCAACCCTATCCATACTTTAAGCTCACTCAAACCCGTGATGATACAGCTTTGAACAAACTATTCAAAAACCTCTTTATTAAAAGTTTTGGGGAGGCCAAACTGTCACGTCTCTCCCCCGTGACTTTTAAGCAGCATAATTGAATCTTTCCGTTCCTACTCCCCATGTGGCTCCGCATCCCATCAACGGATGTCCTTGGTGGGACCGAGCCAAAAGAAGACTCAACACTGTTGCTTTGTTTCAACCAGGAAATGGTCCTTCTGCCTGGGCTGACTTGAGGAAATTGCTGAAAGTCAAGGACGGGGAAGGAGGGAGGGAGGGGCAGGAAATAGGTCAGGAGGAATAGGTCAGGAGGCAGCATTGGGGAGGAAGGAGGGATGGAGGGATGGGGAGAGGAAGAGGAGGAGGTAGATAATAGTGAGGAGGAGGAGGAAGAGGAGGAGGAGACAACGACAAATGATAAGAAACACAAGGTAGATAAGGAGAAGATAGATGAGGAAGAGGAGGATATATATATATATATAACAAGAAAGAGATGAGGAGGAGGAGGAGGAAGAGATAGATAATAAGAAGCAGAAGATAGATAAGGAGGAGGAGGAGGAGGAGGAGGAGGAGGAGGAGGAGGAGGAGGAGGAGGAGGAGGAGGAAGAGACAGATAATAAGAAGCAGAAGGTAGATAAGGAGGAGGAAGAGGAGGAGACAAATGATAAGAAACACCAGGTAGATAAGGAGAAGATAGATGAGAAGGAGGAGGAGGAGGAGGAAGAGACAGATAATAAGAAGCAGAAGATAGATAAGGAGGAGGAAGAGGAGGAGACAAATGATAAGAAACACCAGGTAGATAAGGAGAAGATAGATGAGAAGGAGGAGGAAGAGGAGGAGGAGGAGGAGGAGACGGAGGAGGAGGAAGAGACAGATAATAAGAAGCAGAAGATAGATAAGGAGGAGGAGGAGGAGGAGGAAGAGGAGGAGGAGACAACGACAAATGATAAGAAACACCAGGTAGATAAGGAGAAGAGAGGAGGAGGAGGAGAAGGAGGAGGAGGAGGAGGAGGAGGAGGAAGAGACAGATAATAAGAAGCAGAAGGTAGATAAGGAGGAGGAAGAGGAGGAGACAAATGATAAGAAACACAAGGTAGATAAGGAGAAGATAGATAAGGAGGAGGAGGAGGAAATATATAACAAGAAAGAGATGATGAGGAGGAGGAAGAGACAGATAATAAGCAGAAGGTAGATAAGGAGGAGGAGGAGAAGGAGGAGGAAGAGACAGATAATAAGAAGCAGAAGGTAGATAAGGAGGAGGAAGAGGAGGAGACAAATGATAAGAAACACAAGGTAGATAAGGAGAAGATAGATGAGGAGGAGGAGGAGGGAATATATAACAAGAAAGAGATGAGGAGGAGGAGGAGGAAGAGATAGATAATAAGAAGCAGAAGATAGATAAGGAGGAGGAGGAGGAGGAGGAGGAGGAAGAGACAGATAATAAGAAGCAGAAGGTAGATAAGGAGGAGGAAGAGGAGGAGACAAATGATAAGAAACACAAAGGTAGATAAGGAGAAGATAGATGAGGAGGAGGAGGAGGGAATATATAACAAGAAAGAGATGAGGAGGAGGAGGAGGAAGAGATAGATAATAAGAAGCAGAAGATAGATAAGGAGGAGGAGGAGGAGGAGGAGGAGGAGGAGGAGGAAGAGACAGATAATAAGAAGCAGAAGGTAGATAAGGAGGAGGAAGAGGAGGAGACAAATGATAAGAAACACAAGGTAGATAAGGAGAAGATAGATGAGGAGGAGGAGGGAATATATAACAAGAAAGAGATGAGGAGGAGGAGGAAGAGACAGATAATAAGCAGAAGGTAGATAAGGAGGAGGAGGAGGAGGAGGAGAAGGAGACAAATGATAAGAAACACCAGGTAGATTAGGAGAAGATTGATAAGGAGGAGGAAGAGGAGGAGGAAATATATAACAAGAAAGAGATGAGCAGGAGGAGGAGGAGGAAGAGGAGGGGACAAATGATAAGAAACGTAAGGTAGATAAGAAGGAGGAGGAAGATATTTGATCATTCATATTACTACAGCAGCGAGAATTGTACTCGCACAAGCCTGGAAAATGTCCACTACACCGACAGATTGTGTAATAATCCGGAAAAGTTTTGAATGTGCAGAAATGGATAAACTTATTATAGAATTAAATAATAAGGAAGACTCGGAATATTACTCAACTTGGGAACACTGGTATGAATGGATAGAAAATAAAACTAGGAAATATATAAATCAAAATGAGACATAAATTGTGTTTACATACATTTGATCAAGAAGGAATATCTGAGAATATATGAATAAAGATTTCTGTCCTGTTAGAACCACGTTGAATTGTACAACTAACATGGACGTATTTTCATTACAGATGTATTTGTATCTGAATATTTTAAATTTTAAGAAAGGTTTTTTGAAAAAAAAAGGAGGAGGAGGAGGAGGAGGAGACAAATGATAAGAAACATAAGGTAGATGAGGAGGGAGATAGATTAAGGAGGAGGAGGAAATATATAACAAGAAAGAGATGAGGAGGAGAAGGAAGAAGAGGCAGATAATAAGCATAAGGTAGATGAGGAGATAGATTAAGGAGGAAGAGGACGAGGAAATATATAACAAGATAAGGTAGATAAGAAGGAGAAGATGGAGGAGGAAAAGGAAGAGGAAATATATAACAAGAAGGAGAAGATAGATAAGGAGAAGACAGATAATAAGAAAGATAAGGTAGATAAGAAGGAGAAGATGGAGGAGGAAAAGGAAGAGGAAATATATAACAAGAAAGAGAAGATAGATAAGGAGAAGACAGATAATAAGGAAGATAAAGTAGATAAGAAGAAGAAGATGGAGGAGGAAAAGGAAGAGGAAATATATAACAAGAAAGAGAAGATAGATAAGGAGAAGACAGATAATAAGAAAGATAAGGTAGATAAGAAGGAGAAGATGGAGGAGGAAAAGGAAGAGGAAATATATAACAAGAAGGAGAAGATAGATAAGGAGAAGACAGATAATAAGAAAGATAAGGTAGATAAGAAGGAGAAGATGGAGGAGGAAAAGGAAGAGGAAATATATAACAAGAAAGAGAAGATAGATAAGGAGAAGACAGATAATAAGGAAGATAAAGTAGATAAGAAGAAGAAGATGGAGGAGGAAAAGGAAGAGGAAATATATAACAAGAAAGAGAAGATAGATAAGGAGAAGACAGATAATAAGAAAGATAAGGTAGATAAGAAGGAGAAGATGGAGGAGGAAAAGGAAGAGGAAATATATAACAAGAAGGAGAAGATAGATAAGGAGAAGACAGATAATAAGAAAGATAAGGTAGATAAGAAGGAGAAGATGGAGGAGGAAAAGGAAGAGGAAATATATAACAAGAAAGAGAAGATAGATAAGGAGAAGACAGATAATAAGGAAGATAAAGTAGATAAGAAGAAGAAGATGGAGGAGGAAAAGGAAGAGGAAATATATAACAAGAAGGAGAAGATAGATAAGGAGAAGACAGATAATAAGAAAGATAAGGTAGATAAGGAGAAGATGGAGGAGGAAAAGGAAGAGGAAATATATAACAAGAAAGAGAAGATAGATAAGGAGAAGACAGATAATAAGAAAGATAAGGTAGATAAGGAGAAGATGATGGAGGAGGAAAAGGAAGAGGAAATATATAACAAGAAAGAGAAGATAGATAAGGAGAAGACAGATAATAAGAAAGATAAGGTAAATAAGGAGAAAATGGAGGAGGAAAAGGAAGAGGAAATATATAACAAGAAGGAGACGATAGATAAGGAGAAGACAGATAATAAGAAAGAGAAGATAGATAAGGAGAAAATGGAGGAGGAAAAGGAAGAGGAAATATATAACAAGAAAGAGAAGATAGATAAGGAGAAGACAGATAATAAGAAAGAGAAGATAGATAAGGAGAAGACAGATAATAAGGTAGATAAGGAGGAGGAGGAGGAGGAATAGGAAATATATAACCAGAAAGAGAAGACAGACGAGGAGGAGGAGGAGGAGAGAGACAAAAGAAACGTAAGGTAGATAAAAAGCAGGAGAAGATAGCTCATGAGAAGGAAGCCCCATACCTTGTACCATGGGCTGGTCCGGCTTAAAAGCAGGAGCCAAGCTTGGAACCCTCTTCGATGGAGCTTCAGAAGTTCGCCACGAGTCCTTCAGCTCGCCGGTATCTAAAAAAGGGAACTATAAATCTAAATAAATCAGGGAACCTCCCCCTTTTGTTCCTGACTCTGTCAAGATGCTACGGGCACTTTCTTTCCATGGGGTATCAACCTTCTCTCCCCAACTTCGAAGCTCAACTTCGAGAAACCAGGATGATGATCAGGAAGGGTTGCCAAGAACAAGCGAGCAAGGGGTGTGTGCGTGCACGCGAGTGTCTTTCGTTACCTAGATACCCACAACGGCCCAGCCACATGTGGGACAGCTGGAGGGCTAAAGCAGCGTTGGAACGTTGATGGTCACCGGCTAAACCTAGCTGAAGGAGCTTGTCGTCGTCTTCGAAGTCATCCAGGTCAGGGCAGAGAAAAAGCGGGCACTGCGGAAGAGAAAGGAGACCCCCCCAAGAATGATTTTGCTCCATAGAAGCAGCCTGAAAACAGGGGACTGGACTAGAAGACCTCCAAAGGTCCCTTCTGGCTCAACCTTGAGACTGTCAGGATCGAACTCCTGGCAGTCAGCAGAATTGGCCTGCAATAGACTGCATTCTAATCACCGCAGCACCATGGCAGTGTGACAGAGTTGGGAGGGGCCTTGGAGGTCTTCTAGTTCAAACAGGAGACCATACATCATTTCAGACAATGGCTGTCCAGTCTCTTCTTAAAAGCCTGCAGTATTGGAGCACCCATAACTTCTGGAGGCAAGTTGTTCCACTGGGGAATTGCTCTCCCTGTTAGGGAAATTTCTCCTTAGTTCTAGGTTGCTTCTCTCCTTGGTTAGTTTCCATCCGTTGCTTCTTATCTTTTGCAGAAGGGAATTATTTGTGTGTGTGTCTTCATTAAGGTAAAGGTTCCCCTCGCACATATGTGCTAGTCGTTCCTGACTCTAGGGGGCGGTGCTCATCTATTTCAAAGCCAAAGAGCCAGCGCTGTCCGAAGACGTCTCCGTGGTCATGTCGCTGGCATGACTCAACGCCAAAGGCGCACGGAACGCTGTTCCCTTCCCACCAAAGGTGGTCCCTATTTTTCTACTTGCATTTTTTACCTGCTTTCGAACTGCTAGGTTGGCCGAAGCTGGGACAAGTCACGGGAGCTCACCCCATTACGCGGCACTAGGGATTCGAACCGCCGAACTGCCGACCTTTCAATCGACAAGCTCAGCGTCTTAGCCTTTGAGCCACTGTGTCGCACATGTGTCTTCAATAGCTTGTCTTAATTGTCATTTACGTCAGGGGTCTCCAACTTTGGCCAAGACTTGTGGACTTCAGCTCCCAGAATGTGCCGTGCTGGTTGGGATATTCTGGGAATTGGAAATCCACAAGTCTTCAGGTGGTCAAAGTTGATCTAAGTTGGGATATTCTGGGAATTGGAAATCCACAAGTCTTCAGGTGGTCAAAGTTGATCTACGTGGAAGATCCAAGTCCTAGGAAAGTAGATTCACCAGCTCTGGACTTTCTAGGTTTGTGTGTTAAGTTGTCCATTGTGGCTTCCACCACCAACAGCTACCACAGTGCTCGGACTTCCAGGAAAAGCTAGAAGAACATCGGTGGATCCGAGGTAACCTTACCTGGCATTCTTCAGCCCTCTGTTTCAGGACTTCTAACGGTCTCTCCGGCTGTGGCACAGTGAATGCTGGCACACCAGGCTGAAAGGCAGATCAGGACATTTAGAAAAATGCTTCAGGAGGCCAAAAATAATTGGCAAAACACACAAATAATGCAGAGAAAGCTTCTGGATCTTTTGAAGAAAATTAAGCCAGGGTCAAAACTAAAAAATTTAGAAGGATTTTCTTTCTAGCGTGATCAGAGAGCCAAAGAGGTCTCCAAGGCTTCTCGTCAAGCTGCTCACGCCCATCTTAATCCCATGAAGGTGGAGAGAGAAGATCCCTCCAAAGATCTACCTTGAAGATGCCGCCTTTCTGCCAAGCTATCTTCTCGATGGTATCTCCCAAGATGCTGGTGTGGTCAATGCCCAAAGAGGAGACCCCACATACTATTGGCTTCCTACAAGGAAGACAAAGAAAAGGAGATGAAGAAGACTCAATCAATCAATCAATCAATCAGAATAGAGTTTGAAGGGACCTTGGAGGTCTTCTAATCAAACCCCCTGCTCAAGTAGGAGACCCTCTACCATTTCAGACAAATGGCTGTCCAATCTCTTCTTAAAAATCTCCAGTGATGAAGCGCCCACAATTTCTGGAGGCAAGCTGTTCCACTGGTTAATGGCCCTCACTGTTAGGAAGTTTCTCTTCAATTCCAGGTTGCTTGTCTCCTTGATTAGTTTCCATCCAATGTTTCTTGTCTTGCCTTCTGATGCTTTGGAGAATAACTTGACCCCGTCTATTCTTTGTGGGAGCCCCTCAAATACTGGAAGACTGCTATCATGTCCCCCCTAAATCCGTCTTTTCTCTAGACTGGCCAAACCCAAATCCTGCAACCGTTCTTCGTATGTTTTAGTCTCCAGGCCTTTAATCATCTTAGTTGCTCTTTTCTGCACTTTTTCCAAAGTCTCAACAACTTTTTTTTGTAATGTGGTGACCAAAACTGGATGCAGTATTCCAGGTGTGGATCTTACTAAGGCTTTATAAGGTAAAGGTTCCCCTTGCACATATGTGCTAGTCGTTCCCGACTCTAGGGGGCGGTGCTCATCTCCGTTTCAAAGCCAAAGAGCCAGCGCTGTCCGAAGACGTCTCCATAGTCATGTGGCTGGCGTGACTTAATGCCAAAGGCGCATGGAACGCTGTTCCCTTCCCACCAAAGGGGGTCCCTATTTTTCTACTTGCATTTTTTACCTGCTTTCAAACTGCTAGGTTGGCAGAAGCTGGGACAAGAAACGAGAGCTCACCCCGTTACGCGGCGCTAGGGATTCGAACCACTGAACTGCCGGCCTTTCAATAGACAAGCTCAGCGTTTTAGCCAATGAGCCACCGCGTACTAATAATACCCACGTATTAATACTTTCACTCTCTGAGGGGAGAAAGTGAGATTCCTGACATGGTCCTAGAAAGCCATCAAGAGAAGAATAGATATCCATCAAAGACCAAACTGTTTCTAAACCTCTTTCAGGGCTAGCAATGAAGCACCCGTAAGTTCAACCTCCATACCTGACAATGTTTGTACAATCGTAGGCGCCCCCGATGCCAACTTCTATAACCGCCAAGTCAACCTGGGAAGAAGATACAAAATATCTCAAGGTCTCATTTTGCCCAAGAGGGTTTTGGGTCCTCCAGGTTGTAGACACCTAGCAATCATCTATGGATGGGTTGCCTCTGCTGGCTGTGGATATGGGAATTACACACAGTCATATTTTGGTCTTCAAGAATGAGTTAATTTATTTAAACCCAACCAGGGTCAGTTCAGACCGAGCCGCAAGTGAGATTTTTATAGAGTTGACTTCTCTATCTTCAGACCTTCTAAAGAGATTGTCCAAACTGCTCCTCTATCAAGAGAACCACATGGAAGCATCAATTTTGGGTTCAACTCAATTTGGGGTTGAGTGTGCCCAGCGTAGATTCCTTGCGAATCTCCAGATCTTGGACTCTCCAGATCATCAATATCTGGACAATCACCAGAACCTCACCTATCTTACCCAAACACATATATCTTTCCCAATTTTATAAAAGGTACTTTTGAAGCTCAACATACCTTCTCCTGCAGGAAGACGTGGAAAGCCATGATTGTAAGGAACCGAAAATAGGCAGGCATGGAAGCATGATGGGAGTCCTGAGAAGATCACAAAGGGGGTTAGGAGGATCTGAACTGGAGCAATGGACTATTAAGGTTTCAAACCCACATTCCGTTGGTCGCTATCAAAATCTAGGTTCAGTCTAAATGAACCTCTTTTGATTTCTGGAATGTGCCTATCTCAAAGACTTCCAAATACTTGAGTGTCTTCTAATTTCTAAGCTAGATCTGGACATGAATATGGTGATAATTTTTTTTATCCACCAAGCCAGAAAGCTCAGGAAAATATTGGAAATATTGGAAGGTGCACCCTTTCTCCATTTTGCTTGTCCCTTCCATTTAGAATAGAATAGAATTAACAGAGTTGGAAGGGATCTTGGAGGTCTTCTAGTCCAATCCCCTGCTTAGGCAGGAAACCCTACACCACTTCAGACAAATGGTTATCCAACATCTTCTTAAAAACTTGGAGCATTCACAACTTCTGGAGGCAAGTCGTTCCACTGGTTAATTGTTCTGTCAGGAAATTTCTCCTTAGTTCTAAGTTGCTTCTCTCCTTGATTAGTTTCCATCCATTGCTTTTTGTTCTACCCTCAGGTGCTTTGGAGAATAGCTTGACTCCCTCTTCTTTGGGGCAGCCCCTGAGATATTGGAAAACTGCTATCATGTCTCCCCTAGTCCTTCTTTTCATTAAACTAGACATACCCAGTTCCTGCAATTATTTTTCATATGTTTTAGCCTCCAGTCCCCTAATCCTCTTTGTTGCTCTTCTCTGCACTCTTTCTAGAGTCTCCACATCTTTTTTTACATCGTGGCCACCAAAACTGGATGCAGGATTCCAAGCGTGGCCTTACCAAGGCATCATAAAGTATAATCCTTCACCTGATAATGATTCTATCCCTCTGTTGATGCAGCCTAGAACTGTGTTGGCTTTTTTGGCAGCTGCTGCACACGGCTGGCTCACATTTAAATGGTTGTCCACTAGGACTCCAAGATCCCTCTCACAGTTACTACTATTGAGCAAGGTACCACCTGTGCTGTCCCTGTGCATTTTGTTTTTCTTGCCTAAATGTAGAACCTTCCTTTTTTTCAGCCTTGAATTTCGTTTTCTTAGATAGCGCCCAATGTTCAAGATCCTTCTGTATCTTAAGCCTATCTTCTGGAATCTTTCTTCGTCCCAATCCTAGTTACTAAGTTTGCATTACTATTAGTCTTCTCATTGTTCCTATCACCCATCTCCTCCCACTTATGACTGTATGACTGTAACCTTGTTGCTGGTATCCTTAAGATTTATATTGATTGTTTCCCTATGACTATCATTAAGTGTTGTACCTTATGATTCTTGACGAATGTATCTTTTCTTGTATGTACTCCGAGAGCGTATGCACCAAGACAAATTCCTTGTGTGTCCACTCACACTTGGCCAATAAAAGAATTCTATTCTATTCTATTCTATTCTATTCTATTCTATTCTATTCTATTCTATTCTATTCTATTCTATTCTATTCTTGACGAATGCCATCTTTTCTTTTATGTACACTGAGAGCATATGCACCAAGACAAATTCCTTGTGTGTCCAATCACACTTGGCCAATAAAAGAATTCTATTCCATTCCATTCCATTCCATTCCATTCCATTCCATTCCATTCTATTCTATTCTATTCTATTCTATTCTATTCTATTCTAATTCTACTCTATTCTTGACGAATGCATCTTTTCTTTTATGTACACTGAGAGCATATGCACCAAGACAAATTCCTTGTGTGTCCAATCACACTTGGCCAATAAAAGAATTCTATTCCATTCCATTCCATTCCATTCCATTCCATTCCATTCCATTCTATTCTATTCTATTCTATTCTATTCTATTCTATTCTAATTCTACTCTATTCTTGACGAATGCATCTTTTCTTTTATGTACACTGAGAGCATATGCACCAAGACAAATTCCTTGTGTGTCCAATCACACTTGGCCAATAAAAGAATTCTATTCTATTCTATTCTATTCTATTCTATTCTATTCTATTCTATTCTATTCTTGATGAATGCATCTTTTCTTTTATGTACACTGAGAGCGTGTGCACCAAGACAAATTCCTTGTGTGTCCACTCACACTTGGCCAATAAAGAATTCTATCTATCTATTTATCCCACCATCTCATACCGACCACCTCTGCCCGTTCGTTTCTTAGGTAGGACTTCTCACCAGGTGACACCAAACGTACCTTGGTCTCCTCCAACCGGTTATACACCTGCCAGAAATATTTGCTAAAAAGCTCTTGGCTGATGGGCTGACCATTAATCCGAATTCTCTCGCGGACTTGAACCAGATGGGGTGAACTTGGGGGAAAGAAAGCAGAGAACCAGGATTACTTAGATCAACTTTTGAATGACCATCATCAGGCCAGGATCGAAAACAGAAATCCTAGACCGGTGAAGATATTTGTTCAATGTAACGAAGTCAGGAAAACTCCACCAATCACTGCCCACCCAGTTTTGAAATCAAGATTTTACGATACACTGAATTCTGTTTACCTTTCCCGGAGATCGAATGGGGGTTAATAACAATTCAAGGTACAATGAAGGCGGTTTGAACTTTGATTTCAAAAAGAGGCAGAGCTTTTTAAGTACTGTAGTCCTGTGCTTACATTTTATTTCTTTTTTTTAGAGAGAGATTGTGCCAGCTGATACCAAAGGCCTGCTTAGTCAGGCACCCTGTTGACCAGCTGGAAAAAAATCAAGAATGCCAGGAAACCGGAAAAAAAACTTTCCAGAGACGTAACTGCGACAAACTGTGCAAAATGGTGTTTCCTTTTCCGATGTAATACTATCAAAAATGCTTTTTATGTTTGCATCAGTTGGATAATTGGGAGGTTTTAAAAACTGAATGAACAAGTGAAACAATAATGAGAGGAGGAGGAGGAGGAGGAGGAGGAGAAGGAGAAGAAGAAGAAGAAGAAGAAGAAGAGGAGGAGGAGGAGGAGGAGGAGGAGGAGGAAGGAGAAAGGGGGAGGTGGAGGAGGAAGAAGGAGGAGGAGAAGGAGGAGGAGGAGGAGGAAGGAGAATGGGGGAAGGAGTAGGTGGAGGAGGAAGGAGGAGGAGAAGAAGAAGAAGAGGAGGAGGAGGAGGACGAAGAAGAAAGGAGGAGGTGGAGGAGGAAGGAGGAGGAGGAAGAAGGAGAAAGAGGGAAGGAGGAGGTGGAGGAGGAGGAGGAGGAGGAGGAGGAGGAGAAGAAGAAGAAGAGGAGGAGGAGGAGGAGGAGGAGGAAGGAGAAAGGAGAAAGGGGGAAGGAGGATATGGAGGAGGAAGAAGGAGGAGAAGGAGAAGGAGAAGGAGAAGAGGAAGAAGGAGAAGTAGGAGAAGAAGAAGAAGAAGAAGAAGAAAGAAGAAGAAGAAGAAGAAGAAGAAGAAGAAGAAGAAGAAGAAGAAGAAGAAGAAGAAGAATGACTGTGGCCAAAGAAAGCAAAGATAGTCCCAAAACACTGAATTTCTAGCTAATTTTCCAGCTGGCACAGAAGCTAATCTAAATCCCAAGCAGCCCACAAGGACATTTACCTGTAAAAACCGGTCTTTAAATTGTAGTTGCGCAGAATCCGTTCCGTGAAGGCGCATGACGAACCCTGATGGGTTAAAAAAAAAAGGGGGGGAATATCAGCCCCCACTCAAACCAGGAAGGCATTCAGGCTGCTCACCACCTTGGCCAACCTGTTTTCCCCTGAACAGCTGAATCCATCGCTAACCATAATTTTGAAAATTGGGCCAAGGGGCTGGAAGAGCCCATAAGGGCCGTAGGTTGCTGACCCCTTTGCTTCATACCCTGAATTAATTTTAAAAAATAGTTTTGTGGTCTTTCCCCAATCATCTTCTCTAGGGTTCCCTGCCAGATGTTGTCCCTTCCAGATATTTTACTTGGACAGAAAGATGTGCAAACTTTGGTGTCAAGGAATGGATTCGAGAATTATTCTCGATCAGGTTTGAAAATGTCTTCTGATGCTAAAAACGGATCACAGGAGCAATTCCTGTGTTCCCTGTGTTCCAGATTTAATAAACTGTAAGGACTGAATTGTCCTTCCTTCCCTCCTTCCCTTTCCTCCTTCCCTTTTTCCCTCTCCTATCCTTCTGTTCCGTTCTCCTTCCTTCCTTTTTCTTCCTTTCTTTCCCCTCTCCTTCTCTTCCTTTTCCTTCTCCTTCCTTCCTTCCCTCCCTCCCTCCCTTTTTTCTTTCCCTTTTTCCCTCTCCTTATTCCCTTCTCTCTTCTCCTACCTACCTACCTTCCTTCCCTTCCTCCCTCTCCTCTCTTTCTGTTCCATTCTCTTTCCTTCCTTCCTTTCCCCTCTCCTTCTTCTCTTCCTTTTCCTTCTCCTTTCTTCCTTCCCTCCATCCCTTCCTTCCTTCCCTTTTTCCCTCTCCTTATTCCCTTCTCTCTTCTACCTACCTTCCTTCCTTTCCTTCCTCCCTCTCCTCTCTTTCCGTTCCGTTCTCCTTCCTTCCTTTCCCCTCTCCTTCTTCTCTTCCTTTTCCTTCTCCTTCCTTCCTTCCCTACTTTTCTTCCTTCCCTTTTTCCCTCTCATTCCCTTCTTTTCCCTTCTCCTATCTTCTTTCCTTCCCTTTCTTTCTGTTCTCCTTTTTTCTTCCTTCCTTCCCCCTCTTCTTCTCTTCCTTTTCCTTTTCCTTTTCCTTTTCCTTTTCCTTCCCTCTCCTCTCCTCTCCTCTCCTCTCCTCTCCTCTCCTTTCCTTTCCTTTCCTTCTTTCCTTTCCTTCCCTTCCCTTCCCTTCCCTTCCCTTCCCTTTCCTCCTTTCCTTTCCTTTCCTTTCCTTTCCTTTCCTTTCCTTCCCTTTCCTTCCCTTCCCTTCCCTTCCTCTTTTCTTCCTTCTTTCCTTTCCTTTCCCTTCCCTTCCTTTTCTATCTCCTTCCCTTGTTTTTTTTATTTGAAACACAGTAGTCCACAATCCCGTACGGGATTATCACAGACGTCATATTTGCTGTTACTCATCGCTTGATAAAATTTCAAAACTCTTCAACCCTCCTGCGTCCCCCCCCCCCTTACCTTGCCCTTTGTCCCAGTAACATGAATGATGTTGAGTTGATCCAGGTCTTCAACCTGCCGGACAAAACCCTGTTTAGCTTTTGCTTTTGGCATCGTTACCCCATACCAGAAATCCAGGAAGGGTAGATCCCACCCTGCCTCCGCTCACTGTTTCCCCCCCCCCAAAAAAGCACAAGAACCTCAAAAATGGAATTCCTCACTTTCCCATTGCATGGAATGAGGGAAGCTACTGCCAGGGGTGAAATCCAGCAGGTTCTGGCGAACTGGTAGCGGAAATTTTGAGCAGTTCAGAGAACCGGCAAATACCACCTCTGGCTGGCCCCCGAGTGGGGTGGGAATGGAGATTTTGCAATATCCTTCCTCCAGGAGTGGGATGGGAATGGGGATTTTGCAGAATCCTTCCCCTGGAGTGGGGAGGGAATAGAGATTTTGCAATATCCTTCCCCTGGAGTGGGGTGTGAATGGAGATTTTGCAATATCCTTCCCCAGGAGTGGCGAGGAGAATGGGGATTTTGAAGTATCCTTTCCCAGGAGTGGGGAGGAAATGGAGATTTTGCAATATCCTTTCCCTGGAGTGGGGAGGGAATGGAGATTTTGCAATGTCCTTCCCCCAGGAGTGGGGAGAGAATGGGGATTTTGCAGTATCCTTCCCCAGGAGTGGAGAGGGAATGGGGAATTTGCAGTATCCTTCCTCTGGAGTGGGGAGGGAATGGAGATTTTGCCATATCCTTCCCCCAGGAGTGGGGAGGGAATGGAGATTTTGCAGTATCCTTCCCATGCCATGCCCACAGAACCGGTAGTAAAAAAAATTGGATTTCACCACTGCCCCTGCCCCAAATCCCCCCCAAAAAAACCTCATTTTACCTTCAAGCCGGTCCGTTCCAAGAACCCAGCCATCGCTTGCAATTGGAGCTGGGGGTCTCCCCGTTCTCGCTTCACCTGTTCCAGGTAGCTGGCGTTGGTCTGGAGAGTATTCAAAGTCCGAATGGCATCCTGGAATTGCAAGCAGGCGGGATGTGAATTTTTTTTTTTTTTGGTCCTTCCGTTAGAGAAAGGAAATGGCCCAAACTCCCAAACTCCTCTTAAGAATCTCTTGAAGTTTCCCTGATCGCCACCACCCCTCCATCCCCATAAAAAGGACACCTGAAATAAGAAGAAATTGGCCTGGGATTCCGATTTTGTTTTGCACACGACGGTCTTTTCAGAAGCGGGAGAAAAATCCCGTTTATTGCAAGATCCTTCCTTGCAAATTTTGGGGGCCTCCATGGCTAGAATGCAGGACATCCGCGATCCAGCCCTGCTAGACATTTACTACCCGGAGTCCGTCCGTCGTCCTGTCTCTATGAATGTTGTAAGAGGGTGAGATAGGGCCAGCTTTCCTTCCCTCTCTGAGCAAACACAACCTTTGACAAACATCTAAGGTAAAAGGCACCAAGGTTTGCATGGGAATGAACCTTGAAATTTGTTCGGATTGGGTTTGATGGACGTCGAGCTAAAAAAAGGGAAAGATGGAGAAGCCATATTTGCCGATGGGAATTGAGGGGGCAACGGACCAAGATGGGAGAATCACCAAACACCGAGAGGAGAAGATTGGGTTGCAAAAGGGATAGGGCTTGGTGGAAATAGCGATGCTGACCAAGTTGGGCCAGGAGGAAAAGGATGAAGACGCGTGTGAAAAGCGAGAAATTTTATTTGGGCGTTTTGTGGAAAGACGAAAAAAGAGGGAAGGAGTGCTGTGGGGATTAGAAAGGGTGGAAGAGGAAGGAGAAAGAATTAAGATGGGAATTAATTGATGGGAGGAAGGGTGGAAGTTACAAGTTTTTTTCTTTTCTCTGATTTACCATGTACTATTTTTTTTTTCTTAATCTTGTGTACTTTTACTGCACTGACGAAGGAAGGAAGGAAGGGGAAAGAGATGGATAGATAGATGGATGGATAGAAGGAGGGAGGGAGGAAGGGAAAGATGAGAGGAAGGAAGGAAGGAAGGAAGGGGAAAGAGATGGATAGATAGATGGATAGATAGAAGGAGGGAGGGAGGGAGGGAGGGAAAGATGAGAGGAAGGGAGGGAGGGAGGGAGGGAGGGAGGGAGGGACGGAGGGAGGGAGGAAGGAAGGAAGGAAGGAAGGAAAGAAGGGGAAAGAGATGGATAGATAGATGGATGGATAGAAGGAGGGAGGGAGGAGGGGAAAAATGAGAGGAAGGAAGGGGAAAGAGATGGATAGATAGATGGATGGACAGAAGGAGGGAGGGAGGAAGGGAAAGATGAGAGGAAGGAAGGAAGGAAGGAAGGAAGGGGAAAGAGATGGATAGATAGATGGATAGATAGAAGGAGGGAGGGAGGAAGGGAAAGATGAGAGGGAGGGAGGGAGGGAGGGAGGAAGGAAGGAAGGAAGGAAAGAAGGGGAAAGAGATGGATAGATAGATGGATGGACAGAAGGAGGGAGGGAGGAGGGGAAAAATGAGAGGAAGGAAGGAAGGGGAAAGAGATGGATAGATAGATGGATGGACAGAAGGAGGGAGGGAGGAAGGGAAAGATGAGAGGAAGGAAGGAAGGAAGGAAGGGGAAAGAGATGGATAGATAGATGGAGGGAGGGAGGAGGGGAAAAATGAGAGGAAGAAAGGAAGGAAACAAGACTGATGGATGGATGGAGAAGAGATAAGAGGAAGGAAGGAAGGAAGGAAGGAAAGAAAGAAGGAAGGAGAAAGAGATGGATAGAAGGAGGGAGGAGGGGAAAAATGAGAGGAAGGAAGGAAGGAAAGAAGATTGATGGATGGATGGAGAAGAGATAAGAGGAAGGAAGGAAGGGGAAAGAGATGGATGGATGGATGGATAGAAGGAGGGAGGGAGGAAGGGAAAGATGAGAGGAAGGAAGGAAGGAAGGAAGGAAGGAAGGAAGGAGAAAGAAATGGATAGGAAGGAGGGAGGAGGGGAAAGATGAGAGGAAGAAAGGAAGGAAACAAGACAGATGGAGAAGGGATAAGAGGAAGGAAGGAAGGAAGGGGAAAGAGATGGATAGATGGATGGATGGATAGAAGGAGGGAGGGAGGAGGGGAAAGATGAGAGGAAGGAAGGAAGGGAGGGAGGGAGAGAGGGAGGAATAGACGAAGGAGAGGTTTCCTCAAAGTACTCTACCACACAGAGCTAAAACGAGAATTTCCAGACTGAAAGACGGGAGCTAAAACCTCAGGAATAAAACACAATCTGTTTATATCACCGCACTTTCGTGGAGCGCTCGCATCTCACAGCAGAAAAGAGCTTAAGAGTCGTGCAGGCCAAGAGGCTGGACTTCTCCCAAGGAGATATCAAGCCGAGGAAGTGTTACATCCTCACCTGCACGCCCTACTATGCGGAAAGCCCAGAAAGGAGAACCTTGAAATAAAACAATAAAATCTCAATAACGTGACTCGAGTCCAAAGTTCCTGTATTATGCAGTGTAGACTCAAAATTCCTCCTACCTTCTCCTCGGACAAGGTGGCTCAGCGCGAAGCAACCGGTTTTCTGAAATTATTTCCACCGTTCCCCTGAAAATAAGCCCTAGCATGTATGTGCCTAACATAAGCCGTACCCCCAAAATAAGCCCTGCTTGATAGACTGCACAGCCAGCCTCCTGCTCCACCACGAGCAAGCAGAAGAACTGGGCCTCCTGTACACGGGGGAGAAAAAAAAAAGATATTCCCTGAAAATAACCCTTAGTGCCTATTTTGGGACCCAAAAGAAAATAGGACCCAGTCTTATTTTCGGGGAAACACGATATAATCCTTCTTGATTGCACATCTCCTCAAAAAACTGCACGGATCAGAGACTGACAGGGTGGATAAAAATCAATGATTTTTTTAAAAAAAAATCAAAAAAATCAGATTTTTTTGATTTAAATCGGATTTTTTTTAATTTTTATCGAATTTATTTTAATAAAACACTTTTGGGGTAAAAATCTATCGTAAGATAGTTTTCTATTTAAGATACATAAATAATTTAGTTTATTGAGCAGGAAATGGAGCTTAGTTATGGAGCAGGAGGCTGTATATCCTGCAACACTGGGACTATCGGTGAGTCAACAGTGGGTCAAAGGAGTAGCAGAGATGACAGTTGCTCTTTAAAAATTATGATTTAAATCGAGTTGATTTAAATCAAGCCTTTTTACTAGTGATTTAAATCATGATTTAAATCAACTCGATTTAAATCAAATCCACCCTGGAGACTGAATCGTGAAAATATAACCTTTGCACAAGCCATCAAGGTGCAATGTTTCCAGGTTAAACTGTTGTGACCTAGGCCCAAGTAGTTATTACCAGACACAATTCGTCCTAAACAAACATATTTTATTAAAACAGCTGAGAATTACTTCATTCTCAGCTTAGTCCAAATTAAGTCCAAAACAAATCCTTCATAAACAGTCCTTCAGCCTTATCACCAACCTTCGTCTTCTTTGGCATCCTGCTACAAGGCCTTTCTTGGCAAAGCCCCATGAAGTTCAGAAGCAAGAGACGCCGACGAGAAACAAATGTAGCAACGTTGCTTTCCTACAAAGAGCCCAAGAGCCGTTGCTGCTCTTTTAAGCCTTCTCGGAGGGGCCAATCATCTCCTGGCCTTACTCCCGAGTCGTCCCTTTTGCTTTAGCTGCTCTTGCCTTCTGGCAGCTCTGCGCATGCGTGCAGTGGGAACAGGCTCCTCCTGTTCCTCTGCCTCTCTGCTGTCCGACTCTGGAAGCTCCAGAGTCCGCACATCGCTCCCAGGTGGCCCTGGCCCCATCTCTGCCTCCGACGCAGAGCCCTCCCCAGACTCCAGGACTGATCCATGGTCCTCCCCAGCCTCCTCACTTGTCCGACTCCGCTGCCAGCTCCGCAGGCTGCTGGCGGACCACAACAGTAACACCAGATTCCTTTCTCCACGCTCCTAACAGAGGGACCGAAAAACATTTCTAGGGACTTTGTCAGTACGAAGAAAGTTTATGCTTTGGAAACAATCAAAATCCAGAAACTAACAAAGGGACAGGAAAATATTGACCAAGGTATAAAATTGGCAGGTTTTCGAAAGCACGAGCTGGTTCACGCAGGGACACTGTGTATGCCATGCCTTGAAAATCTTTTAATGCTTCCACGCGTACAATGTCTTTTGCACCATCTGTGCACTGAATGTGTACAAACGGCTGGAGTCGATCGACCGGCGCGTCACACAATGTGTACAAAACTAGTCTTTTCGAAAAAAAGCCAACAACGCAGCCCGCTTGGCACAGCCGAGACCGCAATCCAGATGGAAGGGCTACTACTACCTCCCACGTTTTCCTGGAACCAGATCTGCCTGTTCGGATCTGTATCGAGAACTAATCCGTGCTCCCTTCGTGCTTTACCGTGTTGTAATTTTCGCAAGCGCAAACAGGATTGGTATTGATTTTCAGCCGGGTGCCAGGCAAACAGGGAAAGGCAAGGTGTTTGAAAGCGGTTTGGCTTTCAAAGGTTCTAGTCCTCAAGTTGACAAAGGCAATCGACCCTCCAATTTCTGTGGCTAAGCGAAAAATTGGTTAATGGGAATTTTGTCCCGTTATATGATCGTTCCTGCTAATGTTTTTTTTTTTTTTTAATTTGATTTATATGCCGCCCTTCTCCGAAGACTCAGGGCGGCTTACAATGTGCTCAGCAATAGCCTTCATCCTTTTGTATATTTATACAAAGTCAGCTTATTGCCCCCACAAACTGGGTCCTCAATTTACCTACCTTAGAAAGGATGGAAGGCTGAGTCAACCTTGAGCCTTGGCGAGATTCGAACCCTGCAGTAATTGCAGGCAGCTGGTCTTAATAACCAGCTTAATAACAGGGTGCCTTAAACCCCTGTACTACCAAGGCTCTTGTTGTTAAGCGAATCGCCGCAATTGTTAAATTAGTAACATTAGTAACTTAACATTGTTAAGCAAATCTGCCTTCCTCATGGACTTTATTATTATTACTTTGATATTATTATGATTATTATTGCTCTGTTGCTTTGCGTGTAGACTGACAGCTTAGACACAGGAGACAAATTCCTTGTGTGCCTATCACACTCGGACAAATAGAACACACGGTGGCTCAGTGGCTGAGACACTGAGCTTGTCGATCGAAAGGTTCAGTGGTTCGAATCCCTAGTGCTGCGTAAGGGGGTGAGCTCCCGTTACTTGTTCCAGTTTCTGCCAACCTAGCAGTTCGAAAGCACGTAAAAAAAAAATGCAAGTAGAAAAATAGGAACCACCTTTGGTGGGAAGGAAAGAGCGTTCCGTGCGCCTTTGGCGTTGAGTCATGGCGGCCACATGACCACGGAGACGTCTTCGGACAGTGCTGGCTCTTCGGCTTTGAAACGGAAATGAGCACCGCCCCCTAGAGTCAGGAACGACTAGCACATATGTGCAAGGGGAACCTTTACCTTTTAGTCCTCAACTTACAACGGCTGAGCCCAAAATTTATGTTGCTAAACGAGATGCT